GTTGTCTGGAAGACGGACTGAGCCTCTGGAGCTCCCTACTCTCCAGGCATCAGACATTTGGCCGACCTCCTCCGCATCACAAAACCAGAGGGGGTGAGACAGAGAGCTGAACTTAGATGAGTGTCAAATGCTAACAGGAAGTTAAAGAGCTCATTTAGATAAGGGGCAAAGCCTGAAAATAGTGCCGTCCACATCTGGACAGCTGTGTGTATGCAGAGCTTTGCATTAAAACAAGACATCTTATATCAAAAGTGGGATCATAAAATGATCCAAATAATGTGGAAAAGCATATCCTAGAAAGTCATGATTTCTCCAAGTTAAACAAAATGTCAATATGAGGGTCCACATCATGATTAGCTTAGACATTTCCTGAATGAATGTAAGCTTTTTTCCAAGTTATCTGGTTACATTTATTTGAATCCTGCTTTTAAAATACCCTCCTTCAGTGGAGAACTTTATTTCTCGTCATTCATAGCTGATTTACTCATTACTGTGAGTAATGCATGTGTCATACTTAGTTCTCTTAAGTCAGATGTGCTCTCTGCCTCTACTTGTGCCTGTTTTTAGTTCAGAGGAGCCAGACTCCAGCTGGCTGCAGTTTACAGTCACATATACGGCAGTTACTTCCATAACTAACCCTTTAATAGAATGATTTTACAATTATAATATGCCAATTATTTTTATAAATTATAGATTCTTATTTAGTTTATAACCAGCATTATAGTTTTGTTGCAAAGTATGATATATATTGTTCTTGTGCCAAAGGCCAAACCTGTTATACTAGGAAAATATGTTCAGAATAAGAACATGCTAATGTAGCATAACGTGCTTAAATAGAGAAGAGTATTATGACTTATATTGTGACCTTCTTTGTAAATGTATTAATTGAATGTTCAATATCTTTATGGGTGAGAAATGACTTGCTGTTATCGTGGGCCACTTGTTGTTTCTGTGATCAGGTCTCGGTGTGAAGGTTTTTTAAGATGTTAGGAAAATATGATATTGCTGTATTTCACTGTGAGTCTAAATGACCCAATGACAATAACCTCTGACCTGTTTTCTTTAATGAAAGCACTACTGTTCATCAGGTAACTTGATGCTTGATTGTTTTCTGCTTATGTTAGAAACTGGTTTCATATTTTCCCTAAATAAATGATTCCCAGATATGTGGACCCTGGCAGCGGGTCACACAATAATTATTGAAAATGAAAAAAGAGACATATTGTTCTGCTAAACACATACAAAATAATATATTTAATATTTAAATGTAATATATTTATATTAAGATTACCATTGGTGTTCTGATTCAGTATTTCATTCAGGGTTCATTTTTATGTATCACTCATGTGCCTTTTGTTTTTCTGTTACACTGTGAATGCTACTTGAGGTAAATCCTAATTTATTATCAATAGAATATTCATCTCATCTTACCGACACAACAACTGAATGATAATGAAAACAGTCATGTATGTATATGTATATATATGTATATATATATATGTATATATATGTATATATATATATATATGTATATATATATATATATATGTGTATATATGTATATGTATTCATGTAATAATTGAATTTAAATACGGATGGGTTGTGTTTCACTATTTCTGTAATAATGTTCTTCATTTTTAATAGCATTTTTCAGTTTTAACCGAACTATGCCGAACTATATATATACCGAACTAACTGCCAAATATCCAAGAGAACATTTAATTATTATTGCAAATCAATGTATTTAGAGGCTATGTGGTTCTAAATGATGAAGCTTGAGCATAAACACTGTCCCCTCTATTTGTCTGTGCTTAATGTTCAGTTTCCTTGTTTAGTAGGGGGGTTTCAAAACTCATTAAAACAAGCATCTGAAATCTTAAAAGCATGAGACTGTTTTCTTTAGCTTCTCCATCCCTTGCTCGTTTGTTGTTCTACCCTTTTGGTTACAACAGATCACGTTGGGACAAACCACGGGGGGCAGGTAGGGAGGAATCCAACAGGGGTATCATTGTCCCAGTTTTGGCTGATGCTCATAGCCTCCCACTCTCTCTCTCTCTCTCTCTCTGTCACACACACACACACACACACACACACACACACACACACACACACACACACACACACACACACACACACACACACACACACACACACACACACACATTCAATCCGTGGTGCCCCAGTGAAGGAATGCACAGCTCGGTGCAGAAGATGGGAGTGAGGACAGCATGTAGTGCACATTTTTGGAAGTGAGGAAAGTGTACTAAAATATTATAAATATTTGTCAGTGGTGAAAACGTACTCATGTCTTATACTTAAGAGAAAGCGCAGGAGTCAATATTTTCTAAAATTAAATTACAAAGTAATAGCATTCAGGCAGATTGGCTCCATTCAAGAGAAATATTAAACTTCATTGTATTGATGTTATTTATGTGTTAATGCACAACATCATTGTATTTTTTGCAGCATGTAAAGGTGAGTCTAATTTGAACTACGTTATAAACAGCATAGTTAAATCTGTAATTAAGCAAAATAATGTATTTGTTGATTATATTTGTAAAAGTACAGTACTGAATGACTGTCTTAAAGGTGCAGGACAGTGGACAGTCTGTGTGTGCAGCTCAGTTTATGGGACTATAACAAGTTAGTAGTTCTTCTTGAACAGTAGGTGGAGCTGTTGCCAGAGTCTCAATCACATGTGTGGCCTCCATGCTGTTCTGACACACGCACACACACACACACACACACACACACACACACACACACACACACACACACACACACACACACACACACACACACACACAGTGATGAGAGAGGCCTCCTCTCCCTTCATATCTGTACAATAGGGCTTTATGAGAGGGGTCAAAGAAGAAAGAACCAACATCCCTTCATCCTAACATCATCAGCCCCTCCTCCTCTCTGCTGCCAGAAAGAGGATTGGGCCAAAATTGCCTAAAATCTCTCATCATCTTCGCAGACATTAGCCATCTTTGAACTCCAGAGATGAAAAGTTAAGATCCCTCTTTTTCTGAGAGGTGTGGCTTCATAACGCTCCTACTTTTAGCATGTACGGTAGAATATAAATACTCAGTTAACATTCACAAATCAAGTAGTTCTTACTTTTGTGGCACTGCGGTTTTTAGATTGAAACATTTATAATCTATTTTTAGTAGTGACCCTTTGTGACCTCACACAACAGCTAATGGCCTTGATGCCGAGTGAGTTAACAGAAGAAGTTACACAATGTTAAATAACTTCCCTGTCAGTAAAGTGCCAATAGCATCTCATAACACATTATGGTCGCCTATTAATCATGCTACAACATTATTTTTGTTTTTGCTTTTCGGCGTTGCACTTTTGCAGATGATCCCTGGAGCTTGTCTCTCCTACAGCTGCAGAAAGAGACCGATGAATGTTGTCCAGCTCCGAAGACAGGCTTGTTTGAATGAAAACTATTGCAGCTTGTTGTCTACCTTCAGGGCCGGCCCTCGGCATAGGTTTGGCAGTATAGGCGAATGCTAAGGGCGCATCAACCCATAGGGGGGCCGCCGAAAAAAAGAAAAAAAAAAGAAGTTAGAAATTTTAAAAAAATTATTTTTTAAAATTTCATAAGAACACCATTTCCCGATTTTGGATCAACAAAGTACATCTTATTATCGTATACTAACGGAACTACGCCTATATTGCGTACAGCGACAATAAACTATGGCACACCCCCCCCAAAATCAAGTTGAACCACCCCAGTAAAAACCAGAGGTTTATGTGAAATTGTTCTTTTTTTTGAAATAATGGGTTTAGTGTGCAATTATAGGTTTTAATTTTGTATTTGTGTTAATTTAAAATAAATCAAACTCCCAAAAAACGCTTTTGAGAGCTCTCTCCTGAAAGACTGAGCGGCTCGGATAACCTCAGCTCAGTGAGAAGGCACACCTTTATATGATCATTATAGTTATAAAAAAATAAGAGAATAGATGAAAAACAGGTATAAAATACTATATGACAGTACAAAAAAGTTGTTATTAATAAACAAGAATACAGTTTGAAAGGGGAGTGATTTGTAAAGTATCCATAAAGAAAAAGAAAATCTGTTTACAGTTCTGTTTCATATGGGTGTTGAGAGATGTATCCATAGATTTCCTAATGTTGCTCTCAAAGTGCACCAGATTGATGCTTTTAACTTCAATATTTAAAAAATACAGTTGCCCACATCTTGTGTCCATATCTTTCTGTTTTGGTGGTCATGCCACAACCGTGCACGTGCGAGTCATATTAAGTGTAAGTGTCTGCATTTGGGGGGGGGGGGGCAGCTAAAATCTTGCCTAGGGCAGGAAATTGGTCAGGGCCGGCCCTGTTTACCTTCCTACGGATTATATAAGATTTTGTTTGTGTTTTAACAAAGATGTATTTATGAGTTATTCATCTGTCAAGTTCGAATCTGTCAATAACCTTCTAACTTTACCGAACTGCTCAAAGAGACCTGTCACTTTCCACAGCACCTGTTGGCTGAATCATATTGTTTATCTTAACGTTTATTTTATGTTATGATATTAATATAAAGTATACAGCGCCGCTGTCCGCGGTGCTGAATGGGCTTTGAACCAAGTTGATGTAAACGTTGCTTCGGCTCCTCTTACAGATAGTGTGTGTTTTTCCACTTGTGTGTTATATTTGGAGTTCCTTTCAAATCATTTAAAAAACTTCTATATTTTGATTGGTTTGGCAGCCTTTACAACAAATAAGCAACTTCTTGATTTGCATCTCAGCTTTTAGCAACAGACATAATTACAATGTGCTTCAATATAATTAAAATATTCTTATAGCTGTTGTTATTTTGTAGAGCTACACATTACACAACCAAGTGAGATAAAAGAGAGAGAAAGAGGGATAGAGAATGAGTGAGTGAGTGAGGGAGTGTGAGTGTGTGTGTGTGTGTATGTGTGTTTGTTGTTAGAGAGAGAGAGGCTACTGTACGCCTTCCCTAATAACCAACAGAAGCTGCAAGGGGCGGTGTCTGGCAGACTGATAGAGGAGCTGGTGCCACACAGCCTCCACTTTTACGCATCAGTTGTTTGTGTCAAGGTGTCAATGCTGAGTTTAACTTGGATTTGGATTTTAGACAGAAATTACGACAAGGGTCTTTACATCGTAACTCAGTTTTAAGCTCCATCCAAAGTGAAGCATACACCAGCGGAGTGTGTGTGTGTGAGTGTGGATCCAGAAAAGTTTCCGTCATGGGAGCGCATGGATCAGCGCGTCTTGTGTTTGTCGTCTGTGGATATTTAGCGTTTTTCTTCGGGGAACTTGTTCCGCGGGCTGAGGCGGGCTGCAGGGAGAGGGAGAGCCCAAACTGCTGCACCGGCCGGAACAACGAATGTTTTGAATACAGCAAGAGAAAAACAGTGTGCTACTGTGATACCTACTGTCAGAAAACCGGGGACTGCTGCGAGGACTATCAGCGCGTGTGCCAAATATCTGGTGAGTTGCTTGTTTTATCCTGCACAACGACATTTGACATAAAATGCATTTATGCTTGGAGGGATCGTAGCTCAACGTTGTTGGTAAAGGAACACCTATCCTGTTCAGATTGGATAGGTGTTGTCCCGTTTGAGCCAGAGATGGCTGGCATTGAGGTGACATGGAGACAGTGAGACATACTACACATAGATGTCTGGTTGTGCTTTATAGAGCATTTTTCAACAGCTGGTTGTGAGTATTGGTTTTTAAGTTTGTAGGGTTGACCTTTGAACCAACAATCCAGTCCATTAAGTGGCTGCAAAGTTAGGCGAGTGATCATAACAAAGTCCCAAATCATCACCACCAATTCCACCTTAACACAAATAAGAGTACTCTGCAATATGAATCACCAAATCAAGATTGATTATTGACCGAATCTTTCAAATGTGAGTGTGTTCTTCTTCCATCATCATGGCTGCTGCAATATATGGACAAATAAGGATATGAACACTATGGGAACAGACTGCCAAAGAAGGTCAGAAGAGCTGTCTCTGAGATGTGACAGAGAGAAAAACACTCAAACTAACTGAGCTCTTACAGTATGTCATCTTAAGTGCACACAAACAAGCACCTGATGGGCCAAGCCTACTAGTCAAAGAGCACTTTAATGCTGCAGAGATCCCTCTATTTAGGCACATTTATTGTGTACATGGTGAACCTTTTTTTGAGTGATGTATCTGTGCTTTGAAGGGAACAGCCTGCTGCGTCCAAACTTGAAACAATCACTTAAAAGTGTGTACAAAAGTACTTTTATGGAAGCTGTAATTTATGTATTAGACCGCACTGTTTATGGTTTACTGCCAGGAGCTGAACCCTCTTTGAGTCACTCTTTAACAGCAGAATGGTATACTACTGCACTTACTTTCAAAAGTGACACACTATATGATTTTTTTCCAACACTTTAACAATAATTAATTGGTGCTTAAATGCATTTTTACAGTTGAAAGAACCCTCAAGCTTTATTTTACTGTTAATATATACCTTTTTCCACTCTACAAGGTTTGCGAAACAACTACTTACTACACATAGGAAGAGATAGGACATGCTCAGATCACAAATTGAGTTTTTTATCCACCAAACAGTCAAAGTTGAATAAAGAGACAGCCTTTATCACAGCAGCCAGCTGAGGGGAGTCCATGCAGCACTTGATCTTTCCCATCTGTCTGCCAAGCTGACATTTAGCAGAATGAGCTCAGGAGAGCACCTCAGGTCAGCTTTGACTCATCACTGCACTGTTTAACAGCAGCTGGTCCTCCGCAGGTCAGCTAACGGCCGCCATGCACATCGGTTCAAGGAGGATGTATTCATCACAGTGGATGCTCGTGTGTTGCTCTGACAGGCCAATGGAGATGTGACACAGTACAGAAGAAAATGACACAGCAGTGTGATGCAGGTGTTACAGGTTAGACGATGTTTCCAAGATGAATGTGAATATCTGTAAATCAACTGAAAAGAAGAAATCATCTACAAATTGGTAACATTTATTCACACAACTGTAAATTATAAAAATGTGTATAGTGTGTTGTTTAAGGCTTTATGGTCTATTGTTTTAATCTGAACATGAAAATAATGTCAACATGACATGGGCATGACCTACAAATGGTGAATGGATCAGTGAGCACTGAGTGGTGCTGTGAAAATCACCTTGACTTCCTCCATCTGCAACCTGAGCATCTCACCAGTATAAACACAACATGTGGCTTGGCTCACTTCCATCAGAGCGCCCTCACCCACTTTATCCTCAGACCTTATCTGATCCTGCAGCTCTGCAACGCATCAAGGAGTCTGTCTGTGTACTGTCTGTCACAGTCTGTAATTTAGTCGTGTCAGCTGGAGCTGTGCAAAGAGCTTTGAGTGGGTGACACTGGCAGACTACTTGCACCACTTGGACAAAAACACTTACAACTCTTTAGAGTTTAAACGTTTTGCTCTAGAGATGTTGTTCGAATGAAGTACTTATTTAGAATGAAGAGAATGTTCCTGTGAACTGGGAGGTATGAACTTAAAACAAGAGTGTGGTGGAAAACAAATTCTCCCTACAACACACAAAGTAACGCATCTTAGAAGGATGGGCCATGCATTTCTTGGACTGTTTTCATTTAAACACTGTTGTCTCGCAACTATAAGGTCTTTCTGCATCAGGCGGGTATTCAGGCCAATTACCGGTGTGTTCTTGGGGGTTGTAGAACTTGAAAGATTTTGTGGCGTTAGTAAATTACACCATTTGTCCTCTACACAACTCTGCATAATCTGGTTTCTATCTAGGTTTATAGATTTGTTTCTAGAAGTATTTTTAATTATCTTGATAAAGCTAGCCTTTGTGCAAGTTATCCTTCTCGCAAATACACTAACAAAAGTAAAAAGGGTTACTTCTCTTAAGCATAATAAAGCATCCATCTTTTTCTAAACATACTGTACTGGTAAAAAGAGGCTTGGAACATGCACTTTAATTGGTGCTCCTTCAGGGAGGCTTTTAAGAGATATATTTTCTTGGATATTTCACTTTCTTCATCTTGATATATAATTCATACAGAGAACTGAAAGCTGGTTCACTAACATTTAGGATCATAGCATATAAAGCATAACAGGAGGAGGCAACTTAAACTTAATAAGATACATTTGCATTGAAAATCCAACGGGGGAGTTGTCTTCTGTGGTTGGAGTAATTCTGGTTATTTCCTTGCAGTACTATAGTAAGTCTGTAATTGCTCCTTCCTCAGTCTCTAGAGATGAAACTGTCCCACAGGAGGATCGAAGCTCATCTCCTCTTTCTGTGGTGTCTGGTAGTTCTCACTTCAGCAGGAAGTCTCTGCCTCAGATACACCGGAGGTTTGCTCATTATTCATCCGTCTCTCCTACGGGGAACGATGCTGTCATGCCATGTTGTTTGCTTCTTCCCACCTACGTTCACTCCCTCCTTTTCTTCCTTGCTCCCACTACATTCTCTCTTCAGCCTCTATTAGTAGTGAATGTTTGTTTCCAGGTTGACTGAAAAGAGCCAGCTGTTGTAGTTTTTGCGACAAATAGTGTTGCACCCAGTTTCTCCCATACTGCATGCACCACGATAGATGCTCAATGTTGTTATTCTGATGCCCCTCGCCTGGCCTCTTCATGACAAGAAAACGCAAATATCTTATTCTATTTCCATCATAAAGTGTGTCAACAGTTTTCACAGGAACTGTTTCTTCAACAAAATGTTTTTACATTTGATTGATATTTTACAATTCTTCCATTCTGTGGCAAAAAGACAACTGCCTCAAAAGTTGATCAAATTAGACCAAACTGTTGTTCATGGCAAAATAGTGCTGGTAATAATGAGAAAACGCTTTCTTTTTAAACCTCAGTGATCCGACAAATGCCTTATTTACATACAAATACATTTTGAGCCATGCTAGCCGCATGGTTCTATGTAAAACAAAGTTGGTCTGTCAGTCTGTCCACCACTTTGATCCAGACTAATGATGGTCCCTAGTCAATGAATCCTTCTGACATTTGGGATCCCCTGATTGTCCTTCTAGTACCACGATGATTGTTGGCCGACTATGGATTAGCATGACATTTGTTTCACAATGGATTAGCATTAGTATGTTAACATTGTTATAATGAGCAAGTTAACATACTGGCATTAGCATTCAACTTGTGCTAATGTCAAACCTCACAGGGACCCTAGAATGACTTTATCCTCTTAGTATACTCTTTTCAAAAGCTTCCATTGAACCTGAGGCAGATGTGTACGTTTAGTGAACCAGCTGCTGGGCCTTTAATTCTACACATGTTGCCGCAACTGTGAGGTAAAGTGCACTTAGTCTTTGAAGATAAACAGACAAACCTTTCACTGACAAGAGAACATTTTTAGTTGCATCTCGTGTTTTGCGTCATTGTTCTTTTGTTGTAAGGGAGTCAGGATTAGGAATGATTATTTCTTCTATGTTTTACCATGTCTTCAGTTATTACAATTCAGCTATAATAAAGTGTTGGAAGGCCATGAAATGCGAACTCTTATCGGCTGTGTTTGTTATGAACCCTTTTAATTAGTCACTTTGCTTGGCTCCTCTTCTCGAGGTGTCTACAGGAAGCATTCATGTAACCTGTTATTAGGGCTCAGTCCTGTGTCTTTCACCCCTTTTATCAGGCCTCTCCTTTTGTGTTGCTGAACATTATAAGTCGTGTCTGATGGGACCGCAGCCCAGCTCTCTACATGGGAGGGGGGTTGGCTGTGGAGGGTTGGAGGTGCAGTGGTCCTTTAGAGCAGCTGGACATCTGGGTCTCATCAGAGAGTTGATGGAGGAAGAAAAGAGGGGGTGGGAGAGTGAAGAAGAGGACCAAAACAAGGGGACAGATGGGGAGAAAGAACAAGGGAGAGTGTGGAACAAAGTGATAAAGGGAGAGGAAGATAAAGCAAATTGGGCAGGCAGTGCTGATAAGTCTTTTGTTATGAAACCCTAAAAGGGAAGCAGCATTTAGGGAGAGCGAAAGAATGCCAATATGCCTTTATCTCACTGTATCAAGTGTGACTGGAGATTGGCTGACAAGTAAGGAGATAACATTTGCTGAGGTTGGATACACATTCAGTGGTTCGATTCATTTAAAAGCATTTGTCTGAAGCTCTGACAACAACCAGGAAAGAATGCTGAAGAAATTCCATATTCCAAACAAACACATTTTACATTAATCTCAGCATTTTTATTTATTGTAGCTGTAACTAAAGCTTCCATGTCCTGATCGATCACTTGAGGAGACTTTGTACAGCTCCAGATGAAGCCACAAAAGGTTTATACACCTTCCTTCTCATATGCAATCCCTCAAACCTGTAAACATACTTGGATGTGTAGAAGTGGTGGTTACCCTTAAGTTATACGTTATTAAGATTCAGGTTATCTGTTGAATTATTTCATTGACAGTAATTTGATTTAAATGTCATTTGATATTAAATCCTTGGTAATTGGTACACATTATTGAGCCCAACTAGTAAAAACTGAAAACATTCAGGATCTATGAGGTTAAATAACAAAAACATACATTTTATTTTGGCCTTCAGGTTAAATAGCTTTTGTCAGTTTGTCAGTGTTTTAAAAGTCACGTTAACATTTACTGTGTGCCTCCTAAATATTGGACGATACAGATCTAAGTAGCCCATAAAACACTGTCTCTGTTTAATAATAGAAGCCTCTCTGAGCGGAAACAAAAACTTAAGAGTGCTTGAAACCACTTTGTAAAAATACCAGCTGATGGAAAAGACAAAAGCGGAACATGCTGACAACGAGTGCCATTTGTTTCCTGTATTGGGGTCAGAGGTCAGAGGTGCTGGCATGCTTTCTAACTGGGGACTTTCTCGTCAACAATGGGGACAGAGGACAGCGGTGGCTGTAAGCTCTGTGGGTCAGGCTGTGTCAGACTGTCAGCAGGGTTATCATGTGGGTGGTGGGACTGTCACTCTGGTGGTACTCGAAACAGAGTGGGGGACCACCACCACAGTTTGGTAATTGCCTTCTGACCTCTTGTGGCTTGGGGCCAACAGGCAGAGACTTCTAGACAGGGCCTTATTCCTGCGAGTGTGTTGGTGAGTGTGTGTCAGTGTCCATCAGTGGGGTAGCCCCTTCTCCCCTCAGGTGGCGGGAACTCGCTGACTCTATCGGTTTCATTGGACACCCTTGGCAGTAAAGACCTCAACTGCCCTGCTTGCTCGTGTTTTTCCCAACATAAGAAACAAAAAACAGCAACATGTAAACTTCCCCTGAGAGCGTCAGAGGATGTCGAAGAGGAAAGGAAAGGCGAGGAGTAAGGATAAGAAGAGGTGGAGGGGGCAAGAGTAGGAAGCTGATACGGTGTTGGTGTGATTCGATCACGCCCTTTAGTGTTCTTTCAAGAAAGTTCCCTGTACAAGTCTACACGGTGTAATGTGTATGTCTGTGTGTTTTAGGGTGATGATTGACGCTGGAACAGACCCAAGTGGGTGGGTTTATCTGACAGAAATTGTTTTTTCGATGTGGGTGTGTGTGATGATCTGGGAAAGGCGAGTGTCAGGTGGGCAGCACTAATGTGCAGGAATGCAGAGATTCCACAGTGGCTTTGTGGATCGACTGTGTCACTGAGACAGCCGCCCCCCCTCCGAAACCCCAACAGGACCATGGGAATAAACCGCACAGGCGGCACCTTGAAAGCTCTCTCTCTCTTTCTTTCTGCTGTTCACACACACACACACACACGCACACACACACACACACACACACACACACACACACACACACACACACACACACACACACACACACACACACACACATACACACACACACACACACGCACACACATACTTATACTTATGTTAATTTGGCAGGATGAATTTATCTGAAAAATGTAAATGATTTACTTGCAATAAAGTATTAAAAATACACACATCAACATGCTTTGTGAATAAAATGGTGTGTACCTATATTTTTGCATTAATTAATGTGTGTGTTTGTTGGAGTGTCCCTTTGCTTATTTGTCTTTGTGTTTATGGAGTGGGCACTTCCTTCTTAACAAGGCTGTTAAATGTCTGCCGCTTTTAAATCTCTGTGTTGAACAAAGCTTGATTACTTGCTTTGATCAGAGCAGCCATCTAACTGATACAGCTTCCTCTTAGCCTGATGTAATTGGCTAAATCAGCCTACTACTTGCTGCTACTGCTGTGTTTATGTGGTCTGCAGTTTGTGTGTGTTTGTGTGTGCGCGTGTGTTTAAGTGTGTAGAAGAGGGAAACCAGAGAGAACAGGATGCATAATTAGCCCCTTATTTAAATGGCACCACACATGCGACCCGGGTCACAGACTTCCTGTGTCTGGGGTTCAGCTGATCTGACATTAGTATGGTAATGACCCCTTCACTCGCTTGCCGCCTACCATGACCTACCTGAGTAAATGCTCAGTACAATATAATGCAGCTCCATATCTGGGTGTGTTTGCAACTCATACTTTCAGCCATGCAGTTAGGCATGACAGCAACAATTAGGGGAAAGTTTGCATCTACCTCTGGGGTTAAGATCCAAACCATTTTTCAGAATGGTTGACAGCTGGAGAGACCTTAAAAAAGAAATACCAACTGTTTTGATAACAATTTGATCATCCATGTTACAAATTACATTAAAGGCTGCTTTTAACCTCTCTTATATGGGTGTTTCCTGATTTTGTCTGTTTTATATGATTTAAAACTGATATGCTTGGACTCTATGCTCCTTCTTTATTATTCTTATTTAGTGACTTTCCTTCTCTCTGTCTCTCTGCTTCCCTAGCAGCCATTGACTGTGTGGTGGGATCTTGGGGTCCATGGTCATCATGCACAGCTCCGTGTGGAGTGGGCAGCACAGAGAGGAGTCGCCTAGTGTCTGTTCCTCCGAGAAACGGAGGCACGCCCTGTCCTGACCTCAAACAGCGTCGAGGATGCTTTGGAAACAACGCCATATGCAGCACTGCCAAAGGTACGTTTGTGAGCTTTTCTACATGCCCCAATGCTTGTGTTTATATATGATGCACACACTTCAGCTCTGACCTCTGGTACATATTTATCTGGTGTTTCAATATTCTCTGGGGTAAACGCTGTTAACGCTTTTACTGTAAATAACAGGCCTTATCTCCAGCTGCACTATTTCATCTGCCTCAGTGATGCGCACACTGTTGAATTACCTTCTTCAACACCAGAACACAGATAAACACTTTTCCAAGTAGATTTCAAAGAACACCACTTTGAGTCATTTGCTATAGTCATTTTGAGTCTTTTTATTTTTAAAAGATTCTCTTCAGTGTAAGTAAGATTTTCACTCTTTTTTCTTTTGCATTTCTACCTTTTTGTCCCCACACCTGACCTGCAGAGGTGGCAAAGATCCTGCCTGATTCTTTCAAGAGGAACTTCAAGGACCCTTGGAGACGACCACACATGCTGATGAAGGAGGAGAAGGCCAGGTAGGGCCTCTATGATCAGACTGCAACAAACACACAGACTGCTCACGACTGACCCGCGCTGTTTTGTCTGTAGTGCTGGCTTTCATGTGCAAAGAGTGGGTTATTACAGCCCAATTGCGTGGGGCATTGCTTAATGTATATATATTTCTATAGAGATATTGACATCTTACAGTAACATAAGATTTACAGTGTTCCATTTCTAAAACATCTATGCCTTTCATTTAGAATTTACCAGCTCAATATGTTGAAAGCATAGATTTAACTAATGACTACATTTAAACATTAATATGCAATGCTTTTGTGCCAGTAATCATTTTATATAAGAAAAGTGTTTTGGTTGGAGTCACTTTAGTTTGAGTTCCAAGCCTCAAGGCTGACTCTTAACCTTTCTGACGCAGCTGGAATATATTTCAGTTCCATATCAGTTTTTTCTCAGTTTTGACTTCCAAAGGTCACTCTGAAATCAACTTGTGCTCCGAAAGATTAGAGAATAAAGATCAAGTCCAAGGTTGCCATAGCAGAGCTTTGAAATTGCTTTGACTGTCTAACATTACCGCAATCATGAATATTTGACTCACGAGCTGACCTTCTCTGATAAGGCAACCATAATCCATGTAAGAGGCAAACTCTCCCTGCATGGATGTCCTCTTTGATCTGAGCTGATTGCAGATGTTGTCAGAGCAGAAACATCAGAAATCAGGGAATAAAAATGACTGCTTGTTCCCTGATCGCCTGCAAACCTTTCATACTGATTAAGATGGACATTGGATACTTGTGTTTTGACTGAAATACAGAGCATCAGGGGATTGGAAGCACATTACTCAAACGTGACCCATCCAGCATGGATGACACTGAGTTAAAGGGATTTCCCACAGACATCTGGTTCCCGTGGGTCCCTGGTGTTGTCATTGAAATTGCCCAAAGGGACGAGGGGCTAAAATGATATTAAATGATGGTCTGTATTTGTCTTTGGGACTCCAGTTATAGCTGGGAGATTAGCTGAATGAGTAATATTTCATGCTGATGGTGAGGTAAGAAATGGTCAGGATTCTGTTATGCAGATCTGACTTTAAACTCTTAAAGGCTCAACACAGAGCAGAGCTAATATCTTTTAGGAATTAAGACATAATAATATTTTATCTTTTTTGTTGTAGAGTGGTTTGAGGTTTTCATTATTTTAATTTTCTGCAATTCAAGCCTAATTATGGGGGGTAGGGGCTACCCTCAAGCAAATGCATGTGCACATGAACTGAATGTGGTATGTCCTTGTTATATGTATTATATATTCTTGTCTGCGTCATTCTTAAACAATCCCAAGCTATATTTTATTGAAAAGGTCTGATCTAAATCCATCAAGCATCAATTATTTTTTTAATTTGAGTTGTAACTTTTCTCTACTTTCTGTACCTTATATGCACTTCTTTTTATTTAAATGTTCTCATTTAACCTTGACATGCAAGCATGGACATTCGACATGAGAGGAACATTTTAAAAATATTGATGAAAAGAACATTTTATAGTTGGAAAAAGTCTGGAAGAATCACTGATAAAAACTGCAGCCTTATGTTTTCTTTGACAAACCTTCCCACTGGGGATGGTGTTTCGTCACAGATGACTGAATCAGAGACAAAATAAATGGTGCAGATGTTCAAAGTGCTCGCCAGAGAACAGAGTGAACAGAAAAACAAGACTTTATTATTATTCCCAGTACAGACTGAGCTGTGTTTATATTAGGATACTGCAGGTGACCGTGACATGTGGCTGTTTGTGATCACTACTTGGCTTTCAGTTATTATGCCATTGCTTTTTACTCTTAAACTGAGGGAAGTCGAAGAGGAGAGATGTCTTTGTTTAAAGTGTTTAAACCTGGCTTGGGTCTCTGTGCCTTCATCTGTTTTCCATTTTGCTATTTTGATGTTGATGGCGCAGAGGTTTATGTGAGGTCGTGATAACAATCCAAATCCAAGAAACAACAACATTAGATGTTGAGCTCTCGGATAAAGAGTTGTGAAATAGTTCTCGCTCTAGACCCAGAAATGTGTGATTTGACCTTATGACCCATGTTCTTTCCCAAATATTAGGATCAATTGTTTGTGAAATGGTATCAATTATTGTTGACACTTTCCCTCCCTCTCTTTACTCTGTGCTTGCAGTTACTGTGTGTACCTGCGGGTGAAGCAGGCCAGTGCAGCGTGTAAACTCAAACTGTGGAGCGCTCAGCTGGTGAGAGAGAGGCTGGTCTGTGCCGAGTGTCAGAGTGATGCCATGTCAAAGTCAAACCGCTGCGGAGGAGACGGCTTAGAAAGTACCCGGTAAACCAAGCAATGAAAATAAAATATAAAATCATGCATTACACCACTGACAGTTTTACAGTTTATGGATGTGGGCCTCGACATCTATAAAGTTGCTTTTGTCATTTGGGGAACTTGGCTTAAGAAAACTAAAAATAGAACAATGTTTTTTCCCTTGTCAGCAAGTGAAAAGCCAGATAAACAAGGCACTGAGAGACTAATTAAAATATGTGTTATAACTTAGCATGCATTTAAACGTACAGTATGTTGAGTGTAGCAGCTGCATCTAAAAGAAGGGAAACACCCTCCTCATCACAGATGGTATGATACTTTGTACTTGTTAGCTATCATCGTAGGTGTAATCATTTGCAATGTAAACCGCAACTAGAATGAAATATGTTCATATATGTTTATATATTATATATTAAATAAATACTTTCATTACTTGTGCAATTAGCAACAATTAGTTTGGCAGTCTGTGAAGAGTATCCAGAATGTTAAATCTGAGCTCATAAATGCAGCTATATATGGGCAATTGTAAGCCCTCTGTTCAACACACATTTTAAATCTGCAGCGCCATGAAAAGCATCGATTTGTTCGTTTGACATTGGATCATTTGGAAAATTGTTGCTCCAAAATCATATCGGCCTCATCTTGTTTTAAAGTTGTTTTATTTGCATTTATTTGCGTCTTTAATGCAATGCAACTATTGACATATTTTTTAATTAATATCTATACTCTGCCAACATTACAGTCACTATGTGTAGGCTGGGTTAACCTATGCATACATGTTCACCCTTGAATCTATAATGAAAAATACAATTCAATTGTATTTTGTTCCATGCCTGATATACATTCATTTTCTTCCTAGAACGTTCTGGGCGGCGGCTTCAGTCCCGGGCTGTCATGGTTCCTGGGTGCGGGAGTCGTCCTCTGAGGGATGTCGCTGTCCTCCCTACTCTGTGCTCTTCGTGTGAGCCCACATGCAGTTACCAGATATCCGTACGCAGGGACCAGACTTCCCTCCGCAGCCCAAGGCCAGACCCTCCGATCCAGATTACTGGATGGGTAACTCTAGGAGATCAGCAGCATCCTGCCACTTTTTCCTTTCACCTCATAACTACTGTATACACACACTCTGTACTGTATTGACTAAGCACACAGACATTCTTGCATTCATCTTCAGATATTACAGCCACATTGTTTCCTTCAAATCACAACATCTATATGCCTTTTTACCTCTAAATCTTTGCTATCTACCTCCATCAATGCAAGTGCATTTGTTAATGCATAATGTATAAATATATAAATATATAATTTAGCTTTATACATTTTCTATTTTTGATTGTTTATGTGTTATGTATATGCGTCTATATAGCTACACTTATTAGTCTCAAACAGTTAAAACACTAAACAGCAGTTGCTGCACCCAGTTTAGCCCCAGCCAGGATAATCACCTGCAGGCTGGAGATGCGGAAAACTGGCTCATCCAAATTGTAGATGCTAGAATCCTTAAGTCAATATATCTGTGTCCTACAGTTTTGTCCCTGTTATTATTTCCTTTAAACAAAAAAAACCATTTATACCAGCAAGTCAGTTGAATATCAGGTATTGATTCTCAGGTGCTGAGATGTATGTCTTTGTCTCCCATTAAGTCCCTTTTTCCTATCCGCCTCCATCTGATGATCAGATGTGTTAGTAGCTTTAAAGATGTTTTTAGGTTTAGTTTGAAAGACTAATGGCATCTGTTTATACCTAATGTTGTTGGAGAGGGAAAAGAGCCATTTAAGAGCATTTCACTGTGGTTCTCTCTGTCCTCTGTATCCAAGACAGAAACAAATTGCTTCTTAACTCTGTTTTCTCTCGCTCCCTGCCCTGCTCAGTCATCTTACATCACAAGGGAGTTTTTTTTATTAGCAACGTGTCATCCAGTAAACTACAGTATCGCATATAGCCATGTTACTCCCATTTTATTCATTAGCGGAATCTCCTCTCGGCGCTCCCCACAGATCTGATCTGCACTTCTTTTCTCTCTCTGCCCTTTACTGACTCAGGGTCAGTCAGCTGGCTCAGTACACCTTCTCTTGCACTTCTGCTTTGAGAAGAGGACACATTTAGTCCCAGTAAAGGTTTTTCTGTGTCTGTGTTTGTGTGTTTATTTATTGTAAAACAAGTGATGATATTATAGTGCAGCACAACATACTCTGTACACTGTCCATTAGTGAAAATAAACAACTATACCTTCATTTTCTCCCTCTCTTGTCATCATTTCAAATGTTGGTATTTCATTGCATCATTACATTCAGAAGTTACACAGACCCCAATTAGCATTTCTGACCTCTCTACTCTGCAATTATTATTATGAGCCTGGCCCCGCTAAGTATATCCCTCCCGTTGACCAGTGTTTACATGCAGAAGTTCACAGTTAAAAGAAGAGCGCTTTTGAAAATACGTAACCTAACGCAAACTTTTAGCCATCAACATACTTGGTTGAATTCCTAGCATTTCTTTCCCTGTGGTGTAAGCGGTATGACGAAAAGCAAAATGACAGCTAATGTATATAATCATGTATTTGTGGCACATTCTCCTACAATTTAGGTTTGTTTATGTGATGTGAGTGCCAGAGATGATGTGTGGACAGGCTAAACACTGCACAACTTAAACAATCTGGTAGTACATCTGTTACCCGCACGTTTTTGTTTTTACAGAAGCTCTAGAGAGAGAATACCAAGATGTCCAATTTGTAAGCCAGTTTTATATCTCCCAAGCGTGATATATGGGCAAGTTAACTGAACATGGAGTGGATGTGTAAACCTTGACTGTGACCCTGATCGTTGTTTATAAACACCAAATAAACCACATTATTGGAGCATTACTTTACCATATTTTGTTGTCTTGTAACTTCCTAATGCATCAATTGTATTGCTCATTTGTCAGGATGCACTGTACATGCTGGCAGGTATGTAAGGAGGAGTCCCAGCTGAAGAAAAGTTATAACAGCATGATGTAGGAACGATATTAAAAGTTTCAATTTTTTTCACAAAAGTAGAGCAAATTTGTCTAAAAAATGGAAAATGAGCAGTACTTGGGCTTTGATAAAAACATCACAACCCCAGGATCCCACATTAATCCATTGAAAATGATTCATAATCTTGGTTTATTTCATGTCTTCCATCTCAGAGGCAATTGAAATGACCTCTTCGATTTATCTCTCCAGCCATCCTCCCCCCTTTTCTCTGCACTCCTCTCTCCTCCCTGTCCCCAGATCCCTACCAGACTCCCCTTCGTCAGCACAACTCTTTATTTTACTTTACTACAACAGTGGCAATAGAGTGCTGTCAGCCTGACAGTCCATCCCCTCTGAAGCAGGCTTTACCCCCCTGGCTGCCCTGCCTCTGCTGCTAACCCGCTTTCCAAAGGGCAGGAAGGCCCGTCTCTGGCCCAGTGCCTGATGGGCTCCGACAGCAGTGTGTTCTGGGATTATGCCCGCTGAAAAGGGGGGCATTCCAGCACCAGCAGCCTTTGTCACAGCACGGCCACTGTTTGCTTTTGACAAGACAGCTGTTCAAAGCCCTCCTGGCCCCCACGACTGGCGTTAAGGGAAAGAACCAAGAGGTGACATCCGTTTATTGGTGGTGTTGTGGGATGTGTGGTATCACCTCACCTGAAGACGCTTCAGCAGTACATCTGTCTGTGCATCTCGCGCAAATTGTTTTACGTGATTACAATTGAGTGATAAATGCAAATAAAAGTGACACAGAATTTTTGAAATGTTATATCCTGTAGCTAAAAAAGAGCTCTCCAACTAGGTGCATCTATTCTTGACCGAAACTAAAATGGTAGTTGCTTAAGCAAGGTGAAATTGGGTTGTCTGTATTATTGCATTTTGTCTACTGGACCATCCTTGACAGCTTTCCTCCCATCCTAATGTGTAAATGTAGGCCTAGCTGAGATTCCTGGGTCCTGATCTACCTTGTTTGTTGCCTTAATCTTCAGAGGTGATCTTTGCATCTGTGTTGGTGATACTGCAGCATTCAACCAAATGTTGCTTCAAAATAAAGCAAAAATAAATCAAATATGAAATACATGCTTGAAATGTTTGGGAACTCTCAATAGATCAACCTTCTAGTTCAGACGTGCAGGGGCCTCCTTCAGCATGGGGCCCTGGTTGGCACCCCCATTTCCCCCGCTGTGTCGCCCTGTTGTGCATGTATGTGATTTTTTGAAGTGTGTACTGTAATTAGAGTCATCCTAATGAAGGCTTGTTGCCAGTGTAAGAGCAGCTGGTTCAACACAGGAATGATAATGAATGGACGCCTGGACAGGACCAGAGCTACACACAGCAACACAGCTGCTACCCAATACCCAATACTGCAGTAAACACACACACGCACACACACACACACACACACACACACACACACACACACACACACACACACACACACACACACACACACACACACACACACACACACACACACACACACACACACACACACACACACACACACATCCCATGATGATCATACTGATAAAACAATTATCAATGTCTTGTTTTTAAAGATTGGTGTATTGTATTTGCAGTAAAATATGAGCTTCTTTGCTTATATGCTAAACATTATTTAACAAGCTCGTAAGGAAGACTAGCTCTGTAGTTGGAGTACAACTGTACACTCTTGAGGAGGTGGCAGAGGGGAGGACGAGGAGAAAGCTGGACAGTATCCTGGAGAACCCCTCCCACCCCCCTCCATGCAGAGCTAGTGAGGATGAGGAGTACGTTCAGCCACAGACTCATCCCTCCTCGGCATGGCACCAAGCGCCTGGGACAGTCCTTTGTGTATGTAGCCATCAGGCTGCACAACAAGGGGTTAACAATGTGACACATACAAAAACTTTGACCTGCACACATCCATGTAAATATATTTAACAATCCGGACTCAAATGTATATGTTCATTAAATTAATTCTTGTTTTTTAACAGCTACTTACCTGTATATAATTGTAATGTTAACTTTATCTTTAATTGTATTAATCTACAGTGCATCTGTACTGTACTTTCGCTCTCACTCTGTTGCTGCTTAAACTCCTGAATTTCCCCACAGGGATTAATAATGTTCCATCTTATTTTATTTACTTGATAGTTTTTGTCTGTTTTGAAGGGAACTTTGGGGATAGAATTGTTGGGACATATTTGAGTGATGTTTAGCTAGTTATATACGGAAGAGGATTAGGGCCAAATGAAACATATTTTTTCGGGATGTGTAAATTCTTTCTTTTGGGAGAATTCTGAGATTAAAGTCAGAATTCTGAGGGAAAAAAATCCCCAAATAATTGTTGTGGCCCTAATCCTCTTCCGTAGTTATACGTATAATTGCACTATAAAATGTCAGCTATGAACCCCTGTCATTTAAAAACACCTTACATTACAATGAATGAAAATGTTCAAGCAGTCATTAGTGGTATCTTTCTGGAGGAGCTCATAAATTCCACCCTGGAAATATGGCACCACCTTGTGTTGCTATTGACTTACTGCTCTACTTGACCAGAAACACAATTTATAAAACACAGGACATGTTACTGTGTTAATGTGCTTAGAAATGTTTTATTGGGTATATGGTTTTAGTTTGAATACATGATATTAAATGAAAAGTTCAAACATTTTGACCACAAATGGTCATTTCGTTTTAACAGAATTACCTTGTGAAATAATTGATTAGTGTACTTTATAAATCATGTATCCAAGGTAACATACATAGTGATTATTAATTCCTATAGTTTTGAGTTTTTATATTCACAGCTTCATATTGTTTACGCTGTTCAAAACTCACTCAATCACATTGTGTAGAATTCAATACAATTTAGCAAAAATAAACAAGCTAGGCGAAGCAGGGAAGAACATGAAAGAAATTTAAACTAAATCTTCTAATAATCAAACTAAGTGTCAGACGGTAAGCTGTAACAATGGAGACGAAGGCATGTGGCAAACCAAAAGTCAGTACATACTGTACGTACATTTTGTGCTTAAGGCATAAGTGATCTGACCGTTCAAAGTGTTTGGTGGAGGTAACTCCAGGAAGTTAGCGCTGACATTTTAACCTTACATACAGAACATTCCAGTTATAGACATATGATGTATAAGATATAATGAATATACAAAAAATCTATCATTATTTGTCAAACCATCTGTTGATAAGAAAACAAGTAGCCAATTATAAGTCTTTGGCAAATGGCGATATATCAAATCTAATCCAACTCTGACCACCCGGGAGCTTGATAAAGCAGGGGAAGGAAAAGCAAACAAGTTAACTAATCACATATTTGACTATATCATCATGTCGGTAAAAAACTGAAAATAAGGAATTCATAGACAAATCTGACATTGAACTGAATATTCAGAAATGACAATTCAGTCATTCAAGAACAAAATTAAAATGTCTTAAACCAGCATTAAAAGCACACTTTAGTGTACTGAACATAGGCGAGGATGGAGAGCCAAGTGAAAGGATGACATGTTGCCTTCTTTTGTTTCTGTAAACTCATTCAAAATGTTTGCTTTATTTGAGGTTTTTAATCTGTTGGTTCGTGTTTTGGATTTTTAGATCCATCTTGTCCACTTTATTCATCAGAGAATCAATGGAGTCGTCCTGGTCATTAATCTCAGCCTGGAGCCCAAGTCCGAGGCTCTTCAGTCTACTCAAGCCACCGCACATCTCATCTAGGTCATTCAGAAAGGACAGCGGACATTAGATAAAATGTGGTTTAGCAGGAAACACTTTCACACCTAACTTTGATTATACAGGACACTGAATAATAATTGATGGTTATACTTAAGAATAACACGTTTCATTGTAATGGAAACTTATGCTAAATGTAAGGTTTTACATTATCAAAATACTCTCAACTGTACATCATTATCTAGGAATAAATACAAGGGAACAAAACCAACAAGTTTCACCTAAATTATTGTCGAGGGTCAGGTGAGCCTGTTTGAGGTGTTGGTTCTGAGAGTATCCATTCTGCCTTGATGAGCTGTCACCTGTTGATGCAGAAGCTCCAAATGCTGGAACATAGAAATTAGAGACAGTGGAAGCCAGTTTGTGATAAAGCTACGCCATTCTGATTTTCTTGGGCCAACTCTTACCTCCTGTTTCCAGCTTTCTCAGATTAGGGTGGCTGGCTTGGTACTTCTCTTCAGTTTCTCTGCTGCTCGACAGGGCATTCTGCAATCTGACAGTCAGAGAAACATGGTTCAGCAATGTCAATGGCAAGAAGCTGCGAATGGCTTTGCACATCTGTTATGGTAGCATTACAAAAACACTAATTCTGGGTCGTTGTTATGAAGGTTTTGTTGTTAAATAATGCTCTCCAATTTGCTCAATAAATCCTAAATACTTATTAGTGATTTTTACTGTGCAGTGAAGACATGTACCTGCTGTTGTGTTAGTGGATCAACAAATACCTATTAAACATACATATCTAAAAGTGTCTGGTTTATCAGACTTTGTTTTACACTCTGGGTTGTGGTTAAAATAAAAAGGTTTGGATCAGAAGATACTGCTCATTCCTTTTAAATTTAGATTGGATTAAACGTAGTGATTTAGGAGAGAGCAAAGGACAAACAAAGTATATTTGAGCAGTAAGCCTCAGGACTGCTCAATATTGAAGCCCTATTAAATGTATCTCTCACCTTGAACAAGTAATGAAATTGACAGATTATATCAGAATTGACTTGGAAGATGAATAAAAAGGATACATGCCAAGTTCAGTAGCGGATTAAGACGGTACAATTAAAATGAGAACTCTTTATCCATGGTATACAAATTGCTGACCATACATTGATTTGCATTTGAGGTTCCACCTGTCATCACACATTATTGAAATCTATATTGTATTGCATTAGGAAGATTGGATTGTACAGTACCTCAAAATATGTTGCACTGGTGTACGGAATAAAGGACACTCACTTTTAAGTCCTAAGACTCATGACATGCGAGTCAATTTTGGCCATAAATAAATGATCTTACTTTGCTGTTTTTAGAAACCTAAGATTCTTATTTATGTAGCAAATTACCCTGAAATGTAATATATTTAAAGTTAAGCATTCTTGATTATTTATTCACATAATTGTATTGAATATGGAACAATGTTTGAAGGTTGAGTTTTTTTTTTAATTAGTATATTTACGTCAGTAAGCTAACTAACCAAACTGACTGTGGGTTGGTGATAAGAGAGATGTGTTGATAGATGAAGTATTCCATTCATTTAGAGAAGGCCAAACAAGTTCAGAAGATGAAATACCAGATAACATCTTGTCTTGTATTCTGCATTATCACTGCGTTTCTCAACTCTTTTCACATCTGGTTATCACCACATTAATATGTCAAAACATTTTTTATATTATAGGACTGAATGTTACCTGTCGTGGGCCAGGTAGGCCTTTGGTTCTTCAGGTGGTGGTGGCTTTGTCTCTGGCTTGCCCTTGAAGTAATTAACAAGGCCGCCCCACACACTTTGTATACCGTTGATGTGCTTCTGGCTGGTCTTAAGGTCCTGATCCATGTTGTCCATCATCTTGTCGGCCCTCTTCAGAACTTCCCCCTGTCGCATCAGCTCCTACAGAGACAAAGACAGAGAGGTAGAGACAGAAAGAGAGAGAGAAAGAAAGAAAGAGAAAGATATTGTACAATATATGTTGTCATCGTCTTTCTAAGACAATATAATTCACTGGCCGTCTGTCATTGTAAGTTTGATTAGTTTAACATACTTCAGCAGTTTCCACACCCATCTTCTCCGATTCATAGATGAGGCTAACGGAACGGTGACTGCTGTCCACGGCAGACTGAGCTGTATGCATCACTTCCTGCTGGAGGTACCTCTGTCTCCTCTCTGCATCAGTCAATTCACTGTCACTGGACTCGTCATCAAACTCCCTTCTTTTAGGCCTAAAGTCAGCCTCATCGTCATCATCTTCAAACGGGTTGTGGGTTTTAGGGTAGGCCATCTGTGGAGCAGATACACAGTGTTAGATACATTAATTCAAGGTCTATTGGAAATGTACAGAGCTTTATATCTCACCACCAACCATTTACAACCATTACTGAGGTCAATAATTCACTTTCACACTCAACAGATTATTTTCTGTGAAATCACAATATTGTGGGAACCATTTAAAGTGAGAACAGTGAATATTTTATATACAGCCTTCCATTGGATATTAGAACAGCAACCTCCATTGTAATTTGTAAGTAAATTAAAGACCTATCTTTTTAATTTGGGGCAATTGTAATTTTTAGTAGTATCACTGTTCATGTTTTATGGTTCAGTTATATAACTCTTTCTGTTTGTTTAAACCTTGTTCCTCACTTTTTATTGTCATTTCCTGTCATGCGTCAAGCATGAAAGGTGCTATATAAATAACAGTTATTATGATTATTATTGTAACATTAAATCAACAGGTTTCAGTTTGAATAATACATTAAATTAACTATGTTGATAAAAACAGTAACACTGAATACTACTTCACACATTTCAATTGTTGCTCATCTATATTCAAATGGCAGTGGGGACACTAATCAATGAAGTATGATACCATTTACTTTCATGCTAGGCTCCGATAGCTTGCATTCCTTTTGCCTTTGACGATTAGTATAATATGTTCAGCTAACGTTAGTCAATTAATAGATTGATATATAGAATATAGAGCAATGCAATTCCGACAATAATGTTTTGATATGCTTGCTTCGTTATACTGATTAACATTTGTTTTGCGGATCGGTATACATGTTGCTTTGAAAAATGCTATCCTAACTTTAGGGTAAATTAATTAATTTTTTCGCTTCAGTTAGGCATACGTTCAAGACGATAAAATACATTTTTAGGAATATCTCAAGATGTTTCCCACAGTTACCTGCTAAACACCTAATAAGACATAATACTACAGATAGTAATAATCCAAGTTATAATGCTAACCTTAGCTAAGGGGTGTACGGTTGCTAGCCAACTGATAGCTAACTGCTAATGTTAATTAACAAAGATTGCAGGCTAAATACACAAACCGACATTAAGGTTTTCTTGTCGTAGAATAAATGATGGCTTATATAAACATAGAAAAGTTTATGTATTTATAGGATGGAGTTATTAAGAGACAAACCCTGTAGACGTTGTTGTTTCCTTATCAGCTGACTGTTAACAGCAGAATATTTCCGGTCACGTGTACCGACGCACTGTCCAACCAGCGTCCAACTACTATCATGCGCAACAAAAACGCAGTGACACCGAAGTACTTTTTTATTTTTTACCGAAAAACCTTTAATTATGACCCTATATGAAAACAATGTATTAAGTTTGACTTTCATCCTATTAATATAGTATTTGTTTTGTGAATCAAATGACATCTGCATGCTCTCGTTTAGATTGTCCGTGCTGAGTTGCCGTACTGCGGCTCTGTAGCTGCCGCTGTTCGCCCGTTTCCTCATCGCTGGATCTCCCTCGCTGGATGTATGGGTAAACATGTCTGTAATGGGAGGCGGTACGAGAGGATTTTACTTCAACACAGTCCTGTCGCTTGCCCGTTCTTTGGCTGCCCAACGTCCTGCACCGGTTGAAAAGGTGAGGAAGGAGAACATCCAGTTAGCCAAAAAAAACATTTGTTAAAATGAACGTTAGAGAGAGGCGTTGAGCAACAGTGTGTTTTGGGTGCAGCTCAGCTTCCGCACAGGCGGCGGTTTATTTTGATCATAGTCGTGACAGTCACGCTTTTTTGACAGGTGTGTACTCATGTAGTTCTGAATCCTGGTAGATGTTTTTCCATATAAAAAGAAGAAAAGATGAAGGCAGAAGAAAGTGGCGTCGCTGCTTGTGTGGCGGCTGCTGCATCAGACAGAGCAGTCAGGCTGGATCAGCAATGCAGTCAAACAGGTTGCTAAAGAAAAATCACAGGGCGCCTGTTAACACGACATACCATACCATAGATGCCAACCTGTTGCAGGGATGGTCAGGTCAATATGTAACGGTTTTATTTCAATACAGAAATATTTGTGAAAAAGAGCTGGGTTTGACAATGGTCAGTATTTAGGCATAGTGAAGTGACTCTCTTGCACTAAATTACATTTTTAAAATTCCCTCTATGTGAAATATGAACAGCCAGGGCCGGCCCTAGACATTTTGGTGCCCTAGGCGAGATTATGATTTGGTGCCCCCCCCCCCCTCCTAGCAATACACAATAGAATAAATGAAAAATGTCTACAAAAGACCAATACACTACAACAACTGAAACGTATTGACACGTTGGTTATATACATAAAGAAGGTTTCAAATGTATTCATTATTGTATGAACATGTTTTAATTGGGGGGTGGACGTCACATCCTCTCGGGGGGGGTCCGGGGTATGCCCCCCGTAAAGATTTTTTCAACATTTTAAAGCAAAATGCTTCAATCTGGTGCACTTTGAGCAGAATTACTAGAGACTATTTAGGGGGTACAACTAAAACATCCATATGAAAAAGATCGGTTTACATTTTAATAATCAAATAAGTATGTGAACATCACCAATAACAAATAAATGTAACGTATTTTATTTGTGTTGTTCATTTGTATCTTATTTTACCTAGTTAACATTTATTTATGCATTTTTTTTAAATATCTCCAGTTTTAAACGATATTTTTGGTTACTGTCCTATAGTATACATTGGAATGATTTCAAACCTGTTGTTATTTATCCCAATAATTATAAAGGAGTGCCTTGGAAATATTTGTTTGCATAAATTGTGAACAAACCGTTTGAGACCCACTGAGATAACTTAGACTAAAGTGAACTATCTAAACACTCAGAGTCCTTTACCTCATTGAGCTGTAGTTATCAGCCTCAATCCAACAACAATCCGCGGTACCGATGCGCGCCCTGTCTCTCTCTCTCTTGCTCGCTCGGAGGCTCTCTCTCACTTTGGCTGTGAGCTGCGGGCGCCTGATAAGTCAACATCCCCTACTTTCATCCCTTACAGCGCCCATCGTACAGGGCAAATGCAAAATGTTGCCGGCCCGGGGTGCAAAGGGTGTTTACTTTTATTCAATTATTAATGTAAATGTATTACATCAAGGGCAGAAAATTAGGCAGAATACAAAAAAAATAAAAAAGTGTAGCTCCCAGCTCAGCGCCCCTCCAGATTTGGCGCCCTAGGCGACCGCCTCGATCGCCAGTGCCAAGGGCCGGCCCTGTGAACAGCATACATATTGATATAGTAAGCAGATACATAGTAGCTTATGGTTACCACCTTGATAGTAACATGCAGTCGTCTAAACGTTATTTATTGTAGCCTAAACTTTAAACTTTATCCCCTGGAGGAATGTAGACTGATAAGGTAGAAGCAAAACAGACACTAGAAAACAATATACAAATAATAAAGACAGAATGGTATGTTCTCTATGTAAGCCAAGACCAGTGTACGTAAATGTTTTGTAATGTGCAAAATCAGTGGTGCAGTTTCCTGATATTCCTGTTGTATTTTTTTGCAAAAATCCAAACTTTATTTTAAACATGCAGTCACTCTCAAACATACCCTCAAATTCAACACTGCTCTACCTGACAATTACTTTAGATTTATCTTAAGTCTTATCAAGATTATAATTTGTTTTGCTCTTTCAGGTCCAGAAGCTACAATGCATGTGTCCTGTGGAAGTCCGTGGTGTGTTCACTCTAGATGTGCGTCGCAGAGATGCTGTTATTGCGTTGGCTGTGTTTCTGGTGGAATCTGGCTTACAGGTGGGTGGTGATCAGCGAAAAGATTGTGATGTTGTTGAGCTTTTTTTAACACAGAGGGTAGATATCAACATCTCCTAAAATGTCATCGTTAGACTCATGACAACAAATTGATCTTATGGTTTAAAGTCCAAAAGTTATCCATAGTTTATTACAAATCGATGCCATAACCTGTTATATCTAGAAATAATTAGTTTCATTTTAGTTGTATGACTCTGCTTTTTCAGCCTCTCAGCAGGACTACACCTATATCACCATAATAAGCTTATTTCCATAATCCGATTAAACTGGCAATTAGACATGCACTGCCCATGTAAGCCTCTAACCTCATCACACTTTACTGCCCTCTCATTAGATAGAGATGGTAAGTTCACTTTTTGACATTAGAGTGTTATTTGACATTTTCTTTCACTCAGATCTGGTTGTAGTCGGACTTAACAAGGCTCCATATACAGTATTTTTGATTTATCAGTGCAATTAAGGCAAACTAAAGTGCTGCTCTGTGCCAACAAGTGCAGTGGTTTGTGGTGTGTAATGTTCTGCTTCACTCTGACAGCACAAAGACATACTTGTTTCCTACTTGCTGAGCCTACTGAGAGGGCTACCACGGGTCCAATGGATCGAAGAGAGCTCGGGAAAGAAAGGAAAGGGTGAGTACAATCCTCTTATAGTGGGGCCTTTTGTTTTAGATAGCTTCTATAAACTTAATCTATCATTGAACCTATAATGTATTGTAATGTAATATGTGTAATTATTCTGACAAATGTCCAGTACTAGCTAAATAATTAGACATAATTAGATAGTATTTACATCCAATGTCTTTATAAATTGCAATATCTTGCTGCACACATACAGTAGGTGACATTTAACAGAATGATTTGTGTTTCTGTTGTTCTCTGCTCTTCAGAATTTCTGCCGGTTGCAGAAAACTTCAGCTTCTGTCTAGTGACTCTTTTGGCAGATGTGGCTCAGAGGGACCCAGAGTCTCGACAAGAGGTCAGCCTAAAAATTGCTGATAATAATAACTCATTCTAAGGTTAGGCCGCATTGCAGTGAAGTGCTAAGTTATTGTTTCCCCTTCAGATCCTGAACACTTTAATGGAGGTCATGCAGTCATTGCAGGACATGTGCCAAACACCTGATAACCACGACCAAGGTACACACACACGCACACACACACTTACACACAATGCCATTACAAATGTCCTTCAAAACAAAATGCTCTCTTTTTGTCTCCAGTCTATTTGTGCAGATATATTGTCCCAGGCCTGCTCGGCATGACTCGGGCATTTGGCCGCTACAGCTACACAGAAGAATCCTTGTTGTCCAAGCTGTTCCCCAAAGATTCGCCTCAGGCCCCCTGCGTCGCAGAGGAAACTGAGGGAGTGCGGCGCAGATCCTTCAATGATTTTCGCTCTATCATGCCATCCTCACTGCTTACGGTGTACCAGAATGACACTTTGCGCAGATGCACAGGGACCACCCTCGATCCGTCAGCACTGGTGTGTGTTTGAATGACAAAAATGCACTTTTGATGACTTTGTGATTGTCATTTAGTGTTTAAAGAAATGTCCTATTATGTGCTGTCTCATAGGCCTGTAAAGATTCAGGAGGCCACTCACCCTGCTCTCCTACAACCCCTGGCCCCCATTACTTTGAAGGTAAAAGCCAAAAAACAAGAGCTTATTTTTTAAGATTGTGTTTGCCAATGTAAACCTAGATTTTGTCAACTAACCGTGGCTTATTATTGTGAGCAATACACACTATGTAACAATGAGGTACTTGCGTAATTTGAATTCCTTGCTAAGACATATTATGCCTTCAGGATTGTTTTTACTGTGGGCTCTTCCATTTCAGGTGCTTACCTCCCAGAAAGCAGCACAGTAGATCCTGACGTCTATTTCTCAACAGTAAGCTCCAGTTTCTCAGTGTCTCCTCTCTACATGGGAGCTGAAAGTGAGGTGGAGGTGCCCATTGAACTGCTCCGACAGCTCCTGGCAATGGTACAGTAGCCCACTCCCCGTTTACCAAGATACTGCAGCTGTTGTCTCTCATCTGGTATACATACAGAATATTGCATCTTTATCTGTTGTTGTGTATGTTGTCGATTTACAGGTGAAGAAGTTTGTTTCTGACTCGTTTTTGAATGCTCTCAACGACACTATGGCTGAAGTTACAGAGGTAACTATTTTAACAAACATTGTAAATGCTGATTTTTAAAGTTAAATTGCTGCCAGTTAAATTATCTTATATGTAATTTTCTTTTCTGTTTGTTGTTAAGTCTAATCCTGGAATCAACCTCTATTACAAAACCTTCAGTGACACTCTCTATGTGTGCGTGTTCAAAATGCTGCGGGACACACTATACTACATGAAAGGTAAAGCATCATAAATAGCTTATTTGTTCTCAAGACACACAGTCAGGATCAGGTGGTTTACTGTGGCTTATCAAATGAGGACCTACATTTCTCTTCATGTTTCTCAGACCTGCAGCCAGCATTCGTACGGCAGGTGCATGACTTTGTACTGGAACAGTTCAGCAGCAGTCAGTCGGAGCTGCAGCGGGTGCTCCATGATGCGGTCGGCGTGACGGTGGAACAGAGCCCCCTCAAGCTCCGTTGCCAAGCCAACGCTGCCTGCGTAGACCTCATGGTGTGGGCAGTCAAAGATGAGCAAGGTAATTGTAGCAGAGCCTGAGCCTAGCATTGTGTTCAGATGTCATGATCAGATACTGGATTGTGTTTATTTATCCTGGTTACATCCATTGTCTTTCCTGGTTCCTTTTTTTATCAAGGCGCTGAGAATCTGTGCACCAAACTATCAGAGAAGCTGCAGTCGAAAACATCCAGTAAAGTCATCATCGCTCACATGCCACTGCTCATCTGTTGCCTACAGGTATACAAATACGTTAACTGTTACATATACTAGTTCATAATTTTTGTTTCCAAAGTTACTTGACTAAAAGAAAAGAAAATATTTAATATCCGTTATCCTGGTGAATAAGTGGGCTAAATCACACGATTGCCTGGTATGAAACTGACACAGAGTTGTCTTGCATATCGTATGTTTTTTTCTTTCTTTTTTGAGTATTCATTTTTCTTTTTTCCACTTGCCTCTCCCTCTGTTTTAGGGTCTGGGTCGTCTGTGTGAGAGGTTTCCAGTAGTTGCTCACTCTGCCACAACCACTCTCAGGGATTTCCTGGTGGTTCCATCCCCTGTTCTTATAAAGCTCTATAAGTATCACAGTCAGTACAACACGGGTACAGATATTTATTTACTATTTGGGGTAAACCAGTCACTCCTGTTTGAAACTCAGGAGTAAGCCTATAACTGGCTACACAGCGGCTGTAGTTTTGGAATTTGATAATTACCTTTCACCAGCATGTAGATTTCACCATTTAAATAACATTTACCTTCTTAAAAAATTGAATGTATCGAAGATATATCCAGCATAAACCTCCTAATCCTTAATACAGCACACATGATCAGAGCCAAAAGTGAACAGGACTGTTGTAGCTGATGACACAGTGACACATCTATGTCAATAACAGCGTCATTGTACATTCAGCCCTCATCTACTATTGATCTTAACAGAGAGTTCATTGATGAGCTGCTATAATTACAGACAACCGGAAATGCATTCCAGGATTTTCACAGTCTGCTGCTTTATCATCAAGTAGTTGATCATTTGTTAGATTATTAAATATGTCATGCCCAGTTTGTTTCTACAATTAGCCTTTTTATTTTCTGTGCAGGTTAATGTTTTATGCAATGTTTTAAATCGTAAAAGGTTCCAAATAGCTTGTTTTAATGCTCTGTTTGTTGATGTTTCTGGATTTGTGTTGTTCTTACTTTTTAAGCCACAGGAGATATCAGGATAAATGTGACCAATGAGCACTTTCAGTCTACCTTCAACCTGCTGTCAAACAGGAAAGATCAGCCGTCAATGTACGAGCAGCTCAGAGACATTTCCATTGACAACATATGCAGGTCAGACACAAACACTCGCTATGATAATAAAATACGATTTTATGGTGTGTTTATTTACACAAATTGCTCATCTTTTTAATCCCTGTTCCATTTCTTCTCTAAGATGTCTGAAAGCTGGCCTGACCATGGATAATGTGATAGTGGAGGCTTTTCTGGCTAGTTTGTCTAACCGACTGTACATCTCACAGGAGAACGACAAGTGAGCAACACCATTGGTTGAAATAAAAATAGCTCCATTGTGCCTTTTTATATCAGTGGAGATTTTGAAATCCTTGACACCACAGCTGCTGTAAAAATAAAACTTGTCTTTCTGCCAGGGATGCCCATTTGATCCCAGATCACACTATTCGAGCACTGGGTCACATTGCAGTGGCTCTGAGAGACACTCCTAAAGTCATGGAGCACATCCTACAAATCCTTCAACAGAAGTTATGCCAGCCTCCATCCCAGCTGGATGTACTCATCATCGACCAGCTGGGCTGCATGGTCATTACAGGAAATGTGAGTTCAAAGATACAATTAATGACACATTTTTAGAGAATTTTGCCTCCATTATTGAATGTGTTTTGGCTGAAAAGGGCAAAATGTAACCAACATGGAAATATTTAAATGTGTAAACCCCTGTTATAGTTGGAGGGGAAATGCAGTTATTTGTGTGAGATTGACATGTTAATTACAGTTGCCTAAAAGAAGCAATGCTACCCTTGTTTCTTAACCCAGAGAGGCTGGCATGCCACAATTACTAGGAATCTGACGGCTGCTGTTTCCTTGCTCAGTGCATTGTGCATTAATAATAGGTTCCAGTGTTCTGTTATGGGGGGGGGGTTGACGGCGGAGGACCCAAAGTGCAATAGACAACAGTTAACAAAGGACTGGAAAAGGGTCTGACTTCATGCAGCAGATACTGACAACTTTCAGAATGCCTACACTTGCTAATAATTTGGTAGCCAACAGACCGATCCAACCTCTTCAGTCGTGATATATATATCTGGGCTCTGGGAATCAGCCAATACATATAATGTATATGTATATAATGTATACAGTGTTTCATTGTTAAGCTGTATGCCTCACTGTGTGGACTTGACTGGGATCATTATTTTTTGTGTAAAACAACATGGCTTGACTTAAACATTGCTTTCCTTACTTTGTATTATTATAATGTAACAAATACATTGATATACATTTCTTGAGTTTTTATTTATTTTTCAAATGTTCAATTGTACACCTGGTAAGAATCTTCAAAGCAAGACATAAACATTTCAGTATATCATATACTACTTGTAAAATAAGAACATCGTTTTAAATCAGCCCCATTGTCATCGATTCCAATCCAGTTATTTGAGTCAGTTTTGGAGGATCCCTAAAATTATTGGATTTAAAAAATGTTTTTATAAGCTAACAAACACATTTTCTTTCAATTTCTTGCCTTCACAGTTTTACTCTAATGTCTGTTGGTCTGTCCTGTAGCAATACATCTACCAGGAGGGGTGGAACCTGTTCCAGCAGATCAGTGTGAAGGCCAGCTCAGTGGTCTACTCCTCTACCAAAGACTACAGAGACCACGGCTACAGGTCTACCAGCTGTTCCAGCTTTGTTCATCTTTGCCACTGCTACTTAATTGAAGTAGATTATAAGAGCATATTCTCCTACATTTCTGATACATCATCTGTTCTGCTATAATCTTTAGAGCACATTTGATATAGAACAATATCATTTGGTTTGTGTCTACATTTACTTTGTTAAACTGTCCCCTCATCTATCCTGTGTTTTGCCCCCAAGGCACTGCTCTCTGGCAGTGATAAATGCTCTGGCCAACATCGCAGCCAACCTGCAGGGGGAGCAACTGGTGGATGAGCTGATGGTGAACCTTTTAGAGCTGTTTGTTCAACTAGGCCTGGAAGGAAAGAGAGCCAGTGAGAGGGCCTCAGACAAGGGGCCAGCGCTGAAAGTAAGTGCCTAAATACATCTAACGTCTAAACACAACAGGAAGTTGATAGCAGCAATGTTGGTAGATTGCTAATCCCTCTTTGTCTCCCTCAGGCATCAAGTAGTGCTGGAAATCTGGGAGTCCTCATTCCAGTGATTGCTGTGGTGAGTGTGTGATTTCTATAAAAACTGCTGCACCTTTGGAGACAATTTCCATCCATTTAAAACGAGCATTTGTGTTGTAATACCCACCCAGAGCACAGTTAAATCATCTACAGCATGCGAGAGCTTCAGGCAAATCCAATTGTTTAGTGAGCAATTACCTCTATCGACAAATATTTACCCTGTTAGCTCCTGTACAAATATCTGTGTCACGAGTTCACTGCCGGAGGTTATTAGAACTATGCTTTCTTACTATTAACCGGTCATTACATGAGGTAAGTTATATGAAATTGCTATTGTATTAAATATATATTTTTATGTATATAGAAAAAAATACTCCTTCTCTTATTTTCATAGACATACCTATCTAGTACATTTATATATTAGTTTATTACCCCTTTACTGTTTTTTTATTTTGTCTTTCTGCAATTATTACAGTTCGGCATTAGGGTAATGACAGTCATACAATGTCATCTCTTTTTAGCACATTTCTCCTCTTACCTCATTGAACAAGATAAAACATTAACAGAGAGAAAACAAATAACTGTTGAGTCACTCCAACAGGATCACAACACAGAATTTGAAAAAAGAATGACTTGATGTTACATGTACCAAACTAATAGAAGTAATTATTAAACAAAACAACACCCCAGCTATTATAGGGTTGTATTATATCATAGTGTTTAGGATGGGTGTTCTGACCAAACATTGACATTGTCTGGTATATTTTAGCCATTTATATATTATACTTTTGGGTAAAGTTTAGTTCTGTGAAGGGTTGACGACCCGACCCATGAACACAAGGCAGTCTGTGCGATGTTCGTAGATCAGGAAGAGGAAGGGACGGTCCACAATGAAGCGGATCTGAGAGGAGAGGGGCATGAAGCCCACCTGGGTCAGAGCAGCAGCCTCAGTCCCCTCTTCGTTCACAGTGATGGTTCCCTGGTGCTTCAGCTGGGGGGGAGACCAGGAAATATCCATTATTTTGGAAAGAGTTTGCATTGCCCACAACAACATCAACATTTTAGTTTGATGTGTGCCTCATGAAAGATTAAGTCTTACTCACCCAGTTCATGGAAATATTTTCAGAGGTCATTCCAGAGAAATCTCCACTCTCCTGGAACAAGTCAGTGAGGCCCATCTCCTTCAAATTGGGAATCAAGTCATAGTTCTGCTCCAGTTTAAAACGAGGTAACACCACCTCTCGAGTCCTGGAGGAAGGCATAAACAAGTTTCCTCATGGTTTAGTTTTTAAATGTCCGCTAGGTCCAAACATTTTCAGCATTTTCACCGAGCGTTAAACTAAAAAGAAGAACTGTGCTTTCTTAGCTATCCGGTTCGGGAGAATGCTGCTGACCTGTTTGTCATGTTTTTGATCCACTTTTCGACAACTGTGGGAGAGATCTCCTGCTCCAAAGTCCTCATGCCAGTGATCTTCGTAGGCAAGGCAATGAGCATGCTGATTTGTCCTGTGTAGGGGAGCTGAGAAGAAGAACGTTTACATCATTGTTATGCTGCACAGTAGCGTTTGTATCAAGAAATGTCCACTATTCGAACACCAAGTAAAACATTTTTTTTAGTGTGAGGCCACCCACCTGTAGGATGTCGCACTCTAGTTCATGGTCGGAAGCAGCAAGATAGTTCCCCTTGTTGGTCATCATTGGCACGCGAACATTTGTCTTTTCGTTAACTCGGAAGTTGCGATAGTGAGTCCTTTCTTTGGGGAATTTCTGTTCCCATGTACCTGATTATACAAACAAATAGTCATATGTTTACTTTGTGATACGAATAACCAAAGAAACCAGACAAATGTTATGTTTGTCTCTTAAAGAAGTTAATGGACAGTTGACTCACCTTTGAAGTACAGGTAGTTGAGCAGCATCAGCACCATGTTTGGGTCCACACTCTTGAGTCCTTCCTTGATCAGCCCTTTGGTCAGCTTTTGGATGCGGTGATTGGCCTTCTTCAGGAAGGCCTGGTCCCTGAAATCCACTGACTGCGGCTCTGCAAAATAATAAGCCTTTGTCTCTGTGCGGAAACTATCTTTCACCGCGACATCCTTCTTTACGTAGACATCGTTCACGGAGCGTAGCGTGTAGCCAAAGTTCCTCCTGAAGAGCCTGTGCGTCAGCTTCCTGAACAGCTTGTGCACTGTTGTGTTGTCGTAGTGATGGCTAGCATTGACAAACTCTGCGAATCCCAAAGCTTTGTAAATCTGATCCTGGGTTCCTGGTCCTGCTCCTAAAGACATCATCCCCATGGCAACAGAGATACCAGCAGGGGCGAGCAGGATGTTGTCGGTCTGGTTGACGTCATTACGAAGACTTCTATAGAGGTTGAAACCGAAATGTGCGTTAACAATGTTGAGGCGTTGGAGGCGAGAGCGAGCGTGGAACAGCCGCAGGAGTCTAGCCCGCCGGATCTTTGGGTCGGAGGGTTCAGCAAAGATGTCGATGTCCGGGGCGGGGGTGGCGATCTCATCTATCTCATCCCCTTCACTGAAACATAAAAGAAACTCGTAATCCATAAATTCACTGATAGAATAACTCTATATTTGTTTTAAAAGACCTTTTAATTAAACAGTAGCTGCTTTAAAGGTCACTGATCATTTTGTTATGGTTGAACATTTTATTCTACACAATTCAAAAGTTTATATACACTTTCATACATATACATATTTACAGCAATGACGACAGAAAAATATCATCAAGTATAAAACAGACAATTTACAAGTTAATAATAAGAGTTGTCTCTGTCAGGCCTACAAAAAGCATGTTTTTACTTCATTTCTTTACACCTCAAGTGTTAGTACTCACGTATAGTCGTCATCACCCGCTGCCAGGATCTTATCAAAATCAATATAATCTTCATCCTCAAAATCATCAAAAACTAGGTCATTAGTGACGGTGTTTTCTTTGTGGAACTCCAAGGGGATGTCCTCAATCTCCACTGCCCCCCCAGACTCAAAGCCTCTGGGGACCTGTTCAGGGTCAGCGAAGTGAGAGCTGAGCTCTTTGATCTCAGCATGGGACGGACTGACCAGCAGGCAGGCCACAGAGAGGACTGAGATGACCCACATGCTGAAGTCTGAGGCAGAAGGAATAGACATTTAGTTTGGCCTAATTAATAATCTGATCAACATTTAGAAGATTCGATAAATATCCGTTTAAATAACGCTGTAGGATCAAAGTTATCAAAGATGTATCGAAGGTTTTAGGTTAAAACTACCATAAAAGCAGTTTATTTCTGTAAATCTCTTACCTTTACTGTGCACTGCTGGGAAGTGCTCTGTTGCTTCTGTTTGTGGGACTAAGAGCACGCATTGAATACAGAACTGAACTTTGATGTGGGCTTCTCCTGAACAAATAGACCAAATCAAACAGAGCAAAAAGTGCTGTGACTGACTAAAACCCTTAACTCTTCACAATTCAGCTAATACAATCAATACTAATTCACTGGTGAAGGGCTAGTAGTCTGGTAGGAGTTTTATGCAGTTGTTAATTTACATGTTATTTGTATATCTTTATTTAATACAATGAGCAGCATATCGAAACATATTTAAGCTAATGTATGTATTTGAAGGCATTTTTTAACAAAGTGCGTTAGTTAGAGTAATGCATTTTTTAATCTACATTATATTCGTACTCACAGTTGACCAGACGACTTCCACCAATCAAAGAGGCCAAGCCCAGGCTCCAGAAGCTCTTCAGGGACTTCTGGTTGTACTCGGTGGTCATGGGTTTTGCTGTGGAAGGATCAGGTGAGCAATTAATTTTAGTTGCAACGTGTTTAGTAGAAGGTTCTGCACATGTGCAGATAGCACCTAAAATCAGGGGGAGAGGAACACTTCCAGAAGTACCCTGAGTTTGTTCACTGAGTCCATAGCTTCCCAAATCCATCCCTGTTTAATGTGGATGTTTTGTAACTCAGCTGTGCAGATGTGATGAAACACCTTAAATAACATTTTGGAAATGTATATCATGCCAAATGGGAAGATTTGGACGGATGTTGACAGATGTATCAACCTAAGTCCAACCAAAAAACCCAAATACAACCAAAAACATACTGAAGAGTGTATTATCAGTTACTGCAGTCCACTGACTCCCTGTATTTCTGGATGTGGATGTATGACTGGATATATACTTGTTTTTTCAGGGCTTTGGCCAGAGGAGTGGTATGAAGGTGTGTGTGAGATTGCCACCACATCTCCTCTTCTCACCTTCCCCAGTGGAGAACCCCTTCGCTCCGAACTGCAATACAACTCTGCCCTGAAGAATGATACAGTCACGCCGGTACAGGGTTCAAAATACAGACTTTTTTTCTAGTGAGGTAGTTAAAAAATACTTTGGAATCCAGTTACAACAGGAATAATGTTTAAATCTCCATCTCTGTCCACCAGGCTGAGTTGAGCGAACTGCGATCGACCATCAGCAATCTTCTCGACCCGTCTCCTGAAGTCTCTGCCCTCATTAACAAGCTAGACTTTGCCATGTCCACATACCTGTTGTCAGTCTACAGACTAGAATACATGAGGTCAGCTCCTTTACACTCATGTGTCTGGTAAACATTCAAGTGTTTTAATCATTTAAGTCAAATCATGAAACTTTGTAATATTTATTTTTCAGGATGTTGCGATCCAATGATCCTGACAGGTTCCAGGTCATGTTTCGATACTTTGAAGACAAGGCCATCCAGAAAGACAAATCTGGTAAGCGCTTAACAACCGTCCATCTCTGGCTGTTCTTTCCCCTCTTGTCGTCTAAGTCATTTTCTCCAATGCCTTTTTTCTCTTCTCAGGCATGATGCAGTGCATCATTTGTGTTGGCGATAAGGTGTTTGATGTCTTTCTCCTGATGATGGCTGAGAAGGTAGTTAAATTGAATGTCATCGACCCTTATGTTTCATTTTGTGGTATCATGGAATTACAATTAATGCATTATTATCATGTTATTAGCCCAAGACCAAAGGGCATGAGGAGGAATTGGAGCGACATGCCCAATTCTTATTGATCAACTTCAACCACACCCACAAGAGGATCCGCAGAGTCGCGGACAAATACCTTTCTGGTTTGGCTGAGACGTAAGTGTTGATGAAAGTTTGGCCTCCATCATGGTTTATACAGTTTTAATCATATTTATTATGTGCTTTACCTCTACCAGATTCCCCCATCTGCTTTGGAGTGGTCGTGTGTTGAAGACCATGTTGGACATCTTGCAGACTCTCTCGCTGTCACTAAGTGCTGTGAGTACTGGTGTGGAATATTTAGTGGTGGCCAGTAACTAATCAATTATAATACAATATAAATTATTCTGAAATGTCTTGTTTTGCAGAATGACTACTTTTACTTTTTGTATATTTAAGTATGTTTTAGGATCCTTATAGCTTGTACTTTTATGAGTGTATATATACGTATTTCAAAGCATGACTTTTAATTGGAACAGAGTATTTCTACACTGAACTATTGCTACTTTTAGATAAGAACTTCATCCACTTTGGTGAATATTTTCCTCTTTTCTGTTTATTTAGGATATCCACAAGGATCCGCCTTACTATGACATCCCAGACACTCCGTACAGGATCACTGTTCCTGACACCTACGAGGCCCGAGAGGTGAGTTTAGACTGGTATTACACTGATGACCACTAGAGGACAGCAGAGTATCAGTTTTAAAGACAGTAGTGGTCTCTTACTTCTCACTCTGGATTGTTTCATATGTTCATCAACTTCATTTGCATTTAATGAAATGTGTTGTGTCCATGTTACATCATTTATATGACTAAATGAGCTTATTATAATTATGAAAGAAGAGTCTGCCTAATTAAGATTTATTTGAAATTTGATTCTCCAAAAACACTCTGAATTTATGAACACAATCATGGTTTCTTTTTCTCCTTGCAGAGCATAGTGAAGGACTTTGCTGCCCGCTGTGGTGAGATCCTGAAAGAGGCAATGAAATGGGCCCCTTCAGTCACCAAGTCCCACCTACAGGTGAGTTCCTTCTCCTTTATTACCTCAGAGTGGAGATCTTGTCTTTGAGGTCAGAAAAATCAGCAGATATGGGAATTGTAGCTACTTTTAATTTAGTCAAATTAAGTAAGTAAATCTAAAAAAGTCAGTGATGATCTTAATGAAAGTTAAGATACTATAAGTCTTAACTTCACTTCTGACTTTGGTTTTGTTTGCAATTTAAGCAATGCTACTTCAGTTTAATTACTTATAGAAGTAATACAGAATACCTGAAATAAGTTGAATTAGTTTTTTGAAGGAAACAGTTCATTGTATATCTTTAATGGATTTTGTGTCAATGTCCCTAATATTCTGCATCTCTAAGTATTTCCTGTTTACTCCCTTTTTGTGCTGTGCAGGAATACTTGAACAAGCATCAGAATTGGGTGTCAGGACTGTCCCAGCACACCGGCCTGGCCATGGCCACGGAGAGCATCCTTCACTTCGCAGGCTACAACAGACAGAGTACCACACTGGGCGTGAGTCTCACACACATTACGGCATCTTGTAGCTTACACTCGATCCCTTTCCTTACTTAAAGGGGGTGTTATTCCAACAACATTAATGGTGATAATCACATAAACATTAACATAAATAAACACAACAACACAAGCACAATTTCTGATTTCACAGCCGTACCAAAGATTTTGAAGTACAGTCAAACATTGTTCAGAACATTGAGGATGCTTCAGGTTCCTACCTTTGGCCCTACAGGCTTTTTGATTTGTTTCTTACTAACATTATCCAACATGGCTTTTTCAGTTAAAAATGTGCTATTTATTTACTTTGTCAAAGCCTTTGCAGTTTTGTTAATACTGAACAGAAACGCCTCGTATCTGTTTTACACATGTGTTTTCTATATTGCATAGCCTTTTAAACATTGGGAGTCTAATTGTTTAGTTGCTTTCAGCATTGTTTGTCCATGTGTGCATGCTTACTAGTCTGTATGACATTATTTTTGCTTGCTATACATTGCGTTTATGTTCTTGGGCTTGAATTCTGCTATATGTGTCTTTTCATTTGCTTCATTTGTTTTATTTTGTCTTTATTAAACTGCTCCAAACTACCTACCTGGTTGCTTGGCTGGTTTGCGGATTTGCTGGTTGCCTGGTTACTCACCTGCAATGGACTGGTGGGTTGGTTGGCTGGTGGCCCATTTGGCTAACTGGTTATGCTGGTGCTGTCCTCCACCATGTGGCCAACCATAGGCTGCTTTCCCTCAGGTTGGTCTGAACTCTAAATGCAGAGAGTCAGGGCTCAGGCACGATACCTTCAGTATAGCAAGTGTTAGGGTGCAGCTACGTTTCTACTTTGCTAGCTTGGGACTGTGTGGCCCTATGTGGCCCCTAACTGTGTTTGTCATCAGACCACCCAGCTGACAGAGAGACCAGCATGTGTGAAGAAGGACTACTCCAACTTCATGGCGTCCCTCAACCTGCGCAACCGCTACACAGGAGAGGTGAAGTTCTAAAGGGACAGTTCACTCCAAAATTGGAAAATACATATTTTTCCTCTGATCTTTACTGCATCCAGATTGTTTTGTGTGAGTGAATATCATCCATAGAGATGTCTGCACTCTTTCCAATATACTAGAGCTAGATGGCACTCTGCTTGTGTTGATCAAATTGCAAAAAAATACACAACAATTCTACAGCATTTTCTTCATCATGAACCAGTTACTCATGTAAGAACAATTTTCTTTGTACTGAACTACACCCGGCAACTGTATTTCCACTCAGAGGGAAGCGTGCACCTACTAATTTGGTCAAATGTATTTATTTGGCCCTTTAGGCTCAGTAAGCAGAGTGCCATCTAGTTAGATTTTATTTGAGACATCTTTACAAGCTATATCTCCAACACTCGTCATACCAAAACCAAATGAACTAGAATGATAAATAGCACTGCAGATAAGAGGAAACAAATGTATTTTTGATTTTGGGGGGAAATTACCCTTTTTAATATTTCAAAATTAAGACTTTCCTTGGCATGTAGTATGATTCAAACCGGTCTGTTTTATGATCTGTGTAGGTGGCTGGTATGATCCAGTTCTCAGAGGCCACTCACAGCCAGTCAGACCTCAACAAGCTGATAATCCTTCAGATGACCAGTGCTCTGGACAGGAAAGACCCAGAGGCTTTCACCCAGTCCATGTTCAAGATGGCCGCTCTGCTCATTACTACCAAGAGTGAGCAGCTCTGCCGCATTTAATTTTGCTTATATAATAACGCTTTTCAGCAAAAGTACTGCTCTTCTTTGTTACAATTCATCATGTTCAGTTTCTATATTTTCTCTTTCAGACTGCAACCCTCAGCTCCTGCACCATCTGTGTTGGTCCCCTCTGAAGATGTTTACCGAGCACGGCATGGAAACTGCTATCGCCTGCTGGGAATGGCTCCTGGCTGCACACAATGGGGTGGAAGTGCCAGTATGTATATTTTCCACTTTTTAAAAGTCAAGCATTTCTTCTAATTGATATGTATTTTTGTTTAAGATGGATTCAATGAATGTTCTTCTATTCCTATTTACTTTTGTATCTAGTTCATGCGTGAGATGGCCGGAGCTTGGCAAATGTCCGTAGAGTTGAAGATGGGTTTGTTTTCGGTGGCTAAGGTAGAGGCCGGCCCTCTGGCTGTATCAGAGGAGAGTCAACCTGCCCCCTGTGAACCTGACATCATCCCTCACTTCCTCTGGATTGAGGTCAGTGACAAGCAGACATAAACTATGCCTTTTGTATGTTTTCTATTTTTGAGATCATGTTATTTCATGTAAATAAAAATGCACAGGTGATGCAAAAGGTTCTATCATTTGATGTATTTTTCATAAATTGAAGTTGAGCTAATTCTTTTTAGTGTTGGAATCGACCACCTCTTTATTTCTTCTCTCTGCTCTCCCTCCAGTTTCTGGTGCAGAGGTTTGAGATAGCCAAGTACAGCAGTGCTGACCAGGTGGAGATTTTCACCGCCATTTTGCAGAGATCTCTGAGTCTGAGCGTCGGAGGACCCAAAAGCAGTCTGAACCGACATGTTGCTGCCATTGGACCAAGATTCAGGTACCTTGGCCCATTATTACTTCAGCAAATTCATTAAATCCCTTGTTGCTGCCATGGGATTATGGCATATGGGATTATGGAGGCCACAGTTTTACCCTTGCTAACATTTTACCCTACTTTGTAGGGTTATTTGGCCTCTTTCTCACCAATAAGGCATTACATGGTACCACTTGATTCATTAGGTTTTTCTAGTTTTGAATGATACCAGTATGTTTATCCTGCCATCAAAACAGACCCTACAGCATAAATAACAGTATGATGTTCAGGGGCAAAAATACCAAATCCTATAATATTGTGTCATACCTTTTGCTTTTTTAGACTGCTGACTCTGGGTCTGACTCTTCTTCATGCTGATGTTGTGACAAATGCCACCATCAGAAATGTTCTTCGAGAGAAGATCTATTCTACGGCTTTTGACTACTTCAGGTGGAATTTCTTTTTTTCTTATTTGTTTTTTTAGTAAAACAGAAAACTCAATTTCAGTATGATTTAAACCTTTATCTCTCTCGTGTTTGCCAACTTTGTCTTTGTGTAGCGTCACTCCCAAATTTCCCACCCAGACGGATAAGAGGCTGAGAGAAGACATCAGTATAATGATCAAGTTCTACGCCAGCATGCAGTCTGACAAGAAATATCTGGCGGCCAACCAGCTGGTTCCCCAAGGTTCAGAAGACTAGTCTTTCAGTAATCAGACCTAAATTGGAATTTTTACACAGCCCCAGAATTCTCACTTTATATGTGGATTTCCTTTTCCTTTGTGTAGATCCCCAAGACATGTCTGTGAACAGCCTGTCGGTGGTGGCAGGGGCCGATAGCCGGAGCAATCTGGATGCAGCTATGGGCCAGAGGCAGCAGGTGGCTCAGGGATGGATCAATACCTACCCTCTGTCCTCCGGGATGTCCACCATATCCAAGAAATCCGGTAAAACATCTGGATGTTAAACCTAACTCTCTGAATCCAACGTCACTTCAATGCTCCATTTACTTTTTACTCACTCTTTTTTTCCAATGCAATATATTACATCAAGCTAACATGGTCACATGGAAACTCAACCTCCATATGCTTCTTTTTATATACAAATAGGTCTTCATTTATAAAATATTCCCACTGTCAGAATGTATTACTGATGAATTGTTTCTGTACTGTTTCAGGACTGTCCAAAAAAAGCAGCAGAGGAATCCAGCTGCATAAGTACTACATGAAACGCCGGACCCTGTTATTGGCTTTACTGGTATTTACATGTTCATAATCATTATATATTCTATAAGTATGTGGTATTTGAGAAAAATAAAACTATCCTGTTTCTGCACTTAATCTTTATTTACTGATTATGATTTTGAGTCCCATTCCCTGTATGTCTCTTTTCAGGCCAGCGAGATTGAACGCCTGACAATATGGTACAACCCGTTATCCACTCCGGAGCTTGCCATTGCCACTGAACAGTCGGTGGAGACCAGCATTAATAATTGGAGGTCCAAATACATCAGTCTGACGGAGAAACAGTGGAAGGACAACATTAACCTGGCCTGGAGCATAGCCCCGTACCTCGCCCTGCAGCTGCCTGCCAGGTACACAGAGAACTGAAATGCAATGTATACCCGATGTTCATTAATGTCAAACTGAAGGTGCCCTAGACTTTGTCTGACACATTTGAACATCTGAAAAGATTCAATAATTCATCATTTGAGCATTAACAATGTTGAAAGTTTGAAAAGCTTTAAAAGTGAAACTGTATACCTTTATGCACATTGTTGCTTACTATTGCAGTGAGAATTATTTTAATAACAAACTTCAACATGACAAAGGTAACAAAGAATTCACAACTGTGATATAATCTCACTCACCATTAATTTAGCCCAGTCTTAGCTATATGAAAATATCCTAAATATGGAAAATGGCAAACCCCACGGCAAAAGTGCAAATATAAAGAGGCGAAACCCCAAGCGGACACAGCTCGTTCCAAAACAAGAGTGAATCTGTTGTTGAGTTAACATTTTAAGAGTTGTGTTTGTACCGTTCAACTAACAAACCAAAGAAGAACAAAAATAGTTCTTCTTATTCTGCATCTAATATGAATAATTATTTTCACCAATAGATGGCTGAAAATGGAAAATATGAATTTGGCTAGTCTATGAGCAGGATATGGCTTAGTCAAACTTAAAAGTAAATGACACACCTAGTGCAATTTATCTAAACCCATAAAATCCTTCATTTGGCATGCAGCTATAATGTTTTATAATAATATATATAATAATAATTTGCTTTTCAGGTTTAAAAACACGGAGGCGATTGTCTCTGAGGTGACTCGCCTTGTGCGAATGGATCCGGCTGCTGTGTGTGATGTTCCTGAAGCAATCAAGGTGAGTTCCTCCGCCCGCCAACACAAACACAGTGCTTTTATTCTGAAGTAGTTTTGTGCAAATCACAAAAAAAGGAGTTAGACAACGACAAACAGACACAGAGTTTGTCGAAGTTCTATAACCGACAATGGGTTTCGACGTTCAAGTACCTTGAAAAGATACAAAATATGTCACACCACCATGAAGTTCTTAATCTGTTTCTGGTCTGTTCTTATATATGTTTTCAATATGTTTTCTGCACTGACTATTCCTTCAAATTGTTTATGTCTTGGTTAAAGTGCTCTTTTGGGCCTCATTATATTGAGCAATTACAATCATAATTCATTCCAACCATAGCCATAGACTCAAGCACCATTATCCAAATAGACAGGAATTGTAAGGGTGGTGTTATTGACTGCTGTTGAATCTCTTTGAGTTTAAAGATGCTTTATGATCTCATGTGACTTTTTAGGTTATTTTGTCATTGACTTTTGAAGTTGAAAGTTAAAACAAAAGTTAAATGGAAGAAAAAAGTAGTTGCCTTCAAGCTACCATATTGAGTCACTTGAGAGGTCGGTGTTGTTGAAGTCATCTTCTCCCTCCAGCTTCCTATAGTCCTCTTTATTTACTTCTAGCCGACTGAACTCTTAATGAGCCTCGTACCTGTCAGAGGAAGGAGAAAGGGAGGCAGAGCACGTCCTTCCCCAAAGGCCACCATCATTTAACAGATGATCCTCCTTGACATCTCACAGTTGTTAGTTTCAGTCATTTACGTGACTAATAAACACAGTTTCCTCTGGAGGCTTGTTAGCACACCGGCAGGCTCAGGGTCATAACCTTGCATCTGATTGCTGTCAAATCTGATATGTTGATATGGATCCTGTAATGCATGCCGACCATAAAAGTTGAACCGTGTTGTCTTTTTCCCCCCCTCTTAAGTTCCTGGTGACGTGGCACACGATTGATGCTGATTCCCCAGAGCTGAGTCATATCCTGTGCTGGGCCCCCGCAGACCCCCCAACTGGACTGTCCTATTTCTCCTCCATGTACCCTCCTCACCCTCTGACCGCCCAGTACGGGGTCAAAGTTCTCCGCTCCTTTCCTCCTGTAAGTACGACTCACATTCACATACAGATATTATCATCTCTGTTGCAATGAACCTACCAATTCTTTTCTGAAGTAGCATAAACTATTAAACACCCTCATGACCTAAGTGTTCAGGTGTCTATGATTGTAATGAATATAACTTATGGCAGTGTTGGAAAGTAACATGTACTTAAGTACTATCTTTAGCTACTTCCTCCACATTTGAAGTGCATTTTTTTTTACAACATTTTTTTACAACCTTAGTTACTGGTTATATTGTAGACCCAGATTAATGATGAAATGTATAGTCAAATATAAATGATGATGTATTAATATAGGTTAGGTAAACGAGTCACTACACAAGTAACTGTATGCAGAGTTATTAAAATAAGCTTTTCTTTCATTAGCTGCAATATTAAAGTAATGTACACATAAATCCATGATAATTATATAATATATATTTCTGATATGATACATATTCCACTTCTGATATTTTAGGTACATTTTGATGCTGATAATTTTTCAGTAAAATGTAAAGGTGGGGTAGGTAAGTTTGAGAAACCGGCTCGAGATACACTTGTTGTTATATTCCATGGAATGCTCTTAACATCCCGATAGCAATGAATATCTTAAGTGCTTTGACAAAAAATCCATTAAAAAATGTCATCTGTGGAAGCCGTAGTACTGTAAAAAGCACGACCAATCATCTGAGCCGGCCCGGCTAAAATAACTGGATGGCCTACCTGCCTGTCAGCCTTCCATCTGTGCACAAATTTATCTCGTGCCCTCATTGGTCATGTGCACGTTCGTGTGTGTTGGAGGAGGGACTCTGTAAGGAAGTGGCAGATTTTCTCCGGCTGTGTATTTTCAAATTCTAGCGCACTCGAGCTGGTTTCTCCAAAATTACCTACCCCACCTTTAACAGTATTGCTACACTGTCCTTGATATTATTACTTATTATAAGCTCCAGGGATGCTCCTATTATTTCTTGGGGACCTAGTGTTTCACTAACAACCATGAAATGTTTATGGTAGCCCTTTTTTTCACCTGTTGGTAACATTTTTTCTCCACCATTTTTTTAGGATGCCATATTGTTTTACATTCCTCAAATTGTCCAAGCTCTTCGTTACGACAAGGTAAATATATTTTCTGACTAAGCAAGTGCTCTTGAATGTTGGTTATCTTCAGATCTCTAAATGATCAGATCTTTCCCTGTCTTTCTCTCCTGTTACACCATCATGTAGATGGGTTATGTGCGAGAGTACATCCTGTGGGCCGCTCAGAAGTCGCAGCTTCTCGCCCACCAGTTTATCTGGAATATGAAGACCAACATATTCCTGGACGATGAAGGAAACCAGAAAGACCGTGAGATATTTACCTATACTATTTCTTTGAATGTGCATATCATGTGACTCCAACACATAATATTGGTTTTATGTCATTCGAACGGTAATTTATTGATGGTCCTCAGGTTAAATCCCTGTGGTTAAGAGCGAGAATCGGATGTGAGCTAACTGTCCTCTGACTATAGATAGTCAATGAAACTGAGGAAGAAGATGCTGCTGAAGGACTATCTTTCTAATATGCAACCTTAAACTAACTTCACTGCAGTGCTATATATAACAGGTGAATGTATAAATGTAAATAACATTGACCTTTCTCTCCCTGCAGCTGACATAGGCGAGCTCCTGGAGCAGATGGTGGAAGAGATCACAGGCTCTCTGTCTGGCCCAGCCAAAGACTTCTACCAGAGAGAGTTTGACTTCTTCAACAAGATCATCAATGTGTCAGCCATTATCAAGTATGAACACATCTTTTTCTTTGGCTAAATAGAGCATATTGTGCTTTATAATCCTGTTTTAGGTCATTTTATCACATCAGCATAGCACTTTCCATAGAAGCAAACTGGTAGGTGCAGACTGTACAATTCAGCTATTCTTCGTGATTATTTTTTCTATATTTAATCCAACCGTATTTATTTGATTGTTTCTTAATGGATTGAATACTTGAGTGCATTGGTGAAAAACATTTTACGTTACTGTCATTTGTCAATTAATAAGGTTTTCCCCCTTGATTTATTCATCTTGTCTCTGCTTTGCCAAAATGTTGCTTGATCTCAAAGAACTGTGTGACGAACTAGATAAACCCTTACTTACTATATTTAAAAATTCGCTTGATGAAGGTGTGGTACCACAGCCTTGGAAGGATGGTCATGTAACTCCTATATTCAAAAAAGGTGACCGAAGCAATCCTGGAAACTATAGGCCTGTCAGCCTTACAGCAGTAGTATGCAAACTCCTTGAATCCTTGGTGCGTGATGCCGTCATAGAACATCTTGACTCAAACAACCTATTATCAGACCGCCAACACGGCTTCGTCTAGGGCAGATCCTGTTCAACCCAACTCCTGGCCTGCCTTGTCATATGGTCTCGTACCCCTGACGAAAGAGGAAGTCTCGATGCCATTTATTTGGATTTCCAGAAAGCATTTAATACTGTACCTCACAAAAGATTACTGAATAAGCTCTATGGGTATGGTATCCGTGGAGACATACTCACCTGGATCTCAGACTTTCTCAAAAACAGGCGACAGAGAGTCTTTGTTAACGGGAAACCATCTGGATGGTGCCCAGTTCTCAGTGGAATTCCACAAGGTAGTGTCCTGGGTCCTGCACTGTTTGTCCTCTATATCAACGACCTACCGGATAATGTGAGCTCCAGGGTCCAGATGTTTGCAGATGATACTAAAGTCTTCAAGGAAATTAAGTGTAAAGAGGATGCAGAAACACTCCAGTCAGATCTCAGAGAAATACAAAGATGGTGTGAGTGTTGGCAGCTCAAATTCAATGCAGCAAAGTGCAAAGTAATGCACTTAGGTTTTCTGAATAAAAAATATGAGTATAATATGGGTGATAATTCAAACACTATAAACCTATCTGAGACTCAGAATGAAAAGGACCTTGGTGTGAATGTTGACAATACCCTGACATTTAGTGACCATATCCGTCGGGCAAGTAACAAAGCGAATGGTATCCTAGCAATGATCCGCAGATCATACACTTATTTGGACTCTGACGTAGTACGTAGTTTATACATCTCTCTTGTACGGCCACTCCTCGAGTATGGGAATGTCGCTTGGTATGTACCAAGTACCATGTACAAAAAGGATACTGAGCTCATCGAGAAAATACAGAGAAGGGCAACGAAGCTGGTTCCAGAACTAAAGGACCTACCATATCAAGAACGACTGCAAAGTCTTAAAATCCCGAGTATGTATTATAGAAGGGCGAGGGGAGATATGATCGAAGTTTTCAAATATCTCCACAACATCTACAAAACATCATGCCCACTACAACGGGATTATAACACCAGGACTCGTGGACACTGCCTCAAGTTGAAGAAACAGTACTCAAGACTGGCTATCCGCCGCAACTTTTTCAGCCTGCGTGTGGTTGACTTGTGGAATGATCTGCCAGAAAGCGTTGTCACATCCAAGACGGTTAACTGTCTCAACTCCCGCCTCGACCACTACTGGTCAAACATCACCTTCACTTTGGACTATGTGACTGTTGCCAGCATCCATAGTAAATAAAGAATCAGTGATCTACTCATTTATTTATAAGCGACTAAAAGGCCTTAGGCCTATTACAGCCGTATCCTATTGATTGATTGATGTGTTTTAGCTCTACGTCGCTATATCTAACTTTTATCTTCAATTGAATCCATGCCATGTCAAGCAACAATACAGTAGATTTATAATCCATTTAATAATCTGACTGGGAGAAAATAGAAACATATTTGAAGCCACTAGGACGCTGTTATTTGCTAAAGGCCTCAAAGTAGAACCAAAGTTTATCTTTTCTTTTAGACTGAACCCTCGAGGCGATCTGCAGGGTGTTTATGAAGTGATAACAAGTGATCCCCTGAGCCCATATGTGTTGTTCATTTCTCCACTTTGTTCCACCTGTGTTCTGCTCTCTAAATCCCTTTGTTGTTCATTTATTTGGCTGTAACGTCTCTTCGATTATGCACCGGTCGGAACGTTTTCTGGCAGGTCCCATTATTGCTGGCTCTTACAGAGAGTGTTTTGCTCACCCACTTGAGGCAGACAAACCTCCCATCAGCCCTCATTACAGCACTAATTGCAGCCACCCTGGGGAGAAACTTACATTGTCCCTTTGCTAACACTCTCTATTAGGCCTTCTCTCCACCCCAGTGACTCCCCTCTGTGAATAACAGCAGAGCCCGGCTGTCACTTGTGGTCTGAAGTCATTCACTGAGATACCCATGCATGCTACTCTCCGTGAAGTGAGTCCTGAAGGTGTTCAAGTTGATTTGTTTGTCTTCATCAGACCTTTCCCCAAAGGCGAGGAGAGGAAGAAGGCCTGCCTGGAATCCATGGCCCAGATCCAAGTCCAACCTGGCTGTTATCTTCCCAGTAACCCAGAGGCCATCGTTCTGGATATAGACTACAATTCTGGGACCCCCATGCAGAGGTGGGCTTCAAACAATAACCAGAAATCACAAATAAATATGAAAGCTTCACTAAACTCTTCTTGTCGCTGTGACTCTTTCTTTAGTGCTGCCAAAGCTCCTTACCTGGCCAAGTTCAAAGTTAGGAGGTGTGGAGTCAGTGAGCTGGAAAAAGAAGGTACTGACGATGTTTAACCAACATAAAGATGATATCTTATTTCTTGTTGTGCGCAGACAAACAGCGTGTCTTGACATTTCCCCCTCAGGCATGCAGTGTCGCTCAGATTCAGTAGATGAAGCCAAGAGTGAAGAGGAGGCCAAGAGAATAAGCTGGCAGGCGGCCATCTTTAAAGTGGGAGACGACTGCAGACAGGTCTCAGTTTGACACTTCTCTCCTTTCCCTTACCACACTGCTGTGTCACATCCATTTTATAATCTTCCTTTGATTTCTTCAACATGTGGTCCTTTCTGTTTTAACAGGACATGCTGGCTCTTCAGATCATCAGCCTGTTCAAGAACATCTTCCAGCTGGTGGGCCTGGATCTCTATGTGTTTCCTTATAGGGTCGTGGCCACAGCCCCTGGAGTAGGTTCATATAAAACTTTTCCTACATTCCTCAATATTACTTCCTGACAGCAGTGATCTCATTCCTGTCTCTGATGTTCCACCGCAGTGCGGAGTGATCGAGTGCATCCCGGACTGCAAGTCACGTGACCAGCTGGGCCGACAGACAGACTTTGGCATGTACGACTACTTCAGGAACCAGTATGGAGACGAATCCACACTGGCGTTCCAGAAGGTAAAGGGCACATCTCCCTTTTACCTTTTACAGTCATAAGTCAGATTTCTACTACTTTAAATGTTATGTATTAATAGTATAAACTAATGCTCGCTCCCTCTTCTCAGGCACGGTACAACTTCATCCGCAGCATGGCAGCTTACAGCTTGCTGCTCTTCCTGCTGCAGATAAAAGACAGACACAACGGCAACATCATGCTGGACAGCCAGGGCCACCTGATCCACATCGGTGCGTTTGTGTGCCCTTGAAGTTGATAAGCATGTGTGGATCTGATGTGAACTTTGAGCTGTACCAGACTCAATACTGTCCAATCCAAGTCAGACAAATGGTTCAGTATCAGTGCATCTTCTCTTCAAACCAGCTTATGCATTAGTTACGTAAACATCTATAGAAATCACTGAATTACATGAATTACCAACCTTGGAAATACATTTACGGACCAGTGTGTAGGATTTTAGGAAATCTATTTACAGAAATGTTATAAAATAATGATAACTATGTTTTTGTTTTTATATAATCACCCAAAAATAAGAATGGCTTTGGTTTTGTTACAATAAGCCTTTCCTATATACATTGGGAGCTAGTCCTCTTGCACAGAGTTGGCTATGTTGCACCGCCATATTTTCACAGTAGCCACGATGGACAACCCATACTCTGTTTCTATAGAGGGCCCTTTACGTTTATACATAACCTAAAGACCACCTTAGTTCTCCACAAAGCTTGTTAAGGAAGGGGTGAGTGTAGGGGTACCCAGTTGCAATATAAAATGTCTCCACTAGATGTAGCAAGTTGACTTTAAAAATGTACTTTCTCTCTTAGAAATCTGTGGCTGTATCGAACGGAGGACAATGCCTAAACACTTTTAAAAACTCTTAGTACTTTTTGGAGAATGATTTGTACCACTGGCTGTATTAAGGTTGTCAAAGTGAATTTCAACTTTAAAAATGTCGGTCCCTACCTGAGACAATAATGGGATTATAACTCTTTGTAACCCAAGCTTTTATATTGCATCGTTCTGACTGCAGCCTTTACCAACCATTTGAAGTGCCAGACATCGTCTTGATGCCACAATATGATACTAAAGCAGTAAAGACGAGTCCTAAGCTATCAGGTCAGTGTGTTTATTCCTGTGTTTGTGTCTTTTCAGACTTTGGGTTCATTTTTGAGAGCTCTCCTGGTGGGAACCTCGGCTGGGAGCCAGATATCAAACTGACCGATGAGATGGTGATGATCATGGGAGGGAAGATGGAGGCGACACCATTCAAATGGTTCATGGAGATGTGTGTGAGGGGATATTTGGCCGTCAGGTGAGTATTGCTTAGTAAGTGTCCACCGCACCATAAAGACGGCTGACATGTACCATTAAGACACGTTTCTCTGGTGAATCAGGCCCTACATGGATGGAGTGGTCTCCTTAGTAACACTAATGCTGGACACCGGCCTTCCCTGCTTCAGAGGGCAAACCATCAAATTGCTCAAGTGAGTGTGATAATGGCTAAGCAGTTTTATTGTAATTTGCTATGGTAACTAAAACTCTCTTTTCCCAACATATATAGGCAGCGATTCAACCCTGGCATGAGTGAGAAAGACGCAGCTTCCTTCATCATCAAAGTCATCCAGAATTGCTTCCTTAGCAACAGGTCAGCGTGCAACCTAAAACAGATTCTTGTTTTTATTTAATTTTAATATGCATTATTAACTTTTGCCCGATTTCTCTTGTTCTATGTCTTACAGGAGTAGAACCTACGATATGCTCCAGTATTACCAAAACCAGATCCCATACTAAGCGTCTGTGCCTCAGCATGTGCATATACTGGCTGGTACATGGTGTGCGTGTATTTGCGTATGTGCCTTTGTTAATGTTTTCGACACTGAAGGCTGTGGCTCATTGTTTCTGCTGTTTGTGGGATGTTCTCCTTTGTGTTTGCTTCTTGTTTCTTCTCAAAACTTTATTTTTCTTTATATAGGTTCTATTTATTATGTTACGTTGAAATGTTGTTATTCATTTTTATTATATTATTGCACTAGCATCTTGACTTCTGTGCTCTTGCTATTCTGCACATTCAGTAAATACGTAACCAGAGTTTGTGCCAATTCTAAATCACTTTAAATGTTGTGAATGTGGATTCTTAAAGCTGTTGGTTTTAGATGGGGTTTGAAATGTAATTGGATACTTGAAGTAGCTGAAGTAGACCGGTTTCAGTTCCGACCAATGTGGCCTATTCTTTCATCTCGTACTGACTGTACTACTGTGCTTCTCTTTTTAATGGACCAGTCCCAGTTCTTTGATCTGTAGCATGGTACTTGTCTTGTATTTACCAGTGACGACTGTATATATGGAGTTACACATGTCTTTATTTTTAGGGTTCTGTATTTGCAGTTCAGGAGAAATTATGCTGAAGAGTTGGGGGAAATGCTCCGGCTGAGTTTTGTATATTTAGCCTTGCCAAAGGGGGAGAGAATATAATGCACATTTTTTGTGTATGAAGGTCAAATACAGCTTGAATGTTGGGCAGTTGCATGAAGTTAAGCGTCAACGACCATGTAGCCTGTGTCCAATGTGGCTCTGGTGAAAGTTTCCTTCGTAATCCAAAGTGCTGTGCCCCATGTCCATATGAACGCTTAAGCCTTTCTGTAATGTTACTGACTGTAAAGATTTTGCCTCTTTGTATATTTATATTCATGGCCCATTTTATGTCTCCTTTTCTATCTTCATGCCTTTTTGAATGATACTGCATAAGATATGAAATTAATTAAAGATCTATTACCTTTAAGCTGGTGGTGTTATATCAATTATGAAACACATCCATATTGAAGACACTTGTACATGTGTTAGCACTGATTCTCAACAATTCTCAATTCTGATTCACTTGATTCTTGCCACGAGAAGTTTTCAGATTAATTCAATAAAATTATCGGAATATATATATATATTTAAATGCTTCATTGTTCAACAAATATTCAAATTGTAATGTCTAAAATACTTCAGAGATCACATTGATTTCTTTTATTTTCTACATGTGCACTAATCACAAGGTGTGTTTTACTGACTCTTTGTATGCAATAAGGATTCCATTAATGTTTCTTCTCTATTTAAGATGGACTCGAAATCAAACCTAGAGGGCCATATTATTATGAAGCTGACTGTGAAATAATTGTAATAAGTATAACAGGATTATTTCATTATATTGATTCTCTTCAACTCACAGCTCCTGTCTTATTTAAATCACAAACAATAAGACTGGTGTTTTTCTCTAATCTCAAAAAGTCGCACATTAGTTTTAAATAATATCTGTCAGCACCTTCATGCAGTATTTTAAATGTACATCCACCAGAGGGCAGCACATGATGATGATTTCATTTGTTTCCAAGTAATGGTGGGTGCCACTTCTAAGAAGATGCCACTCAATCATTACCAGTGTGAGACAAAACCAGCCACCAAAGCACACAGTACTGTTTTTAGGAAGGCTCTCTGTTGGACACAGGAAATACTAAAGCAACATCAGGAAACATGTCTGAAGCAGAGCTCCGGCTTAACAGCTGTCAAACTGTTTCCCTCTCACATAAAGAGAGTGGCCTTGAGTGGGTCTTGAAGCTTTGATGCTTTTGAAGAAGATCTTGGCCTCTGACAGCAGAGTGCAAATGGAGGCTAACATGTGCTTACCTGATTCTGCTGCTGTGAAACACGGCCTTGAAACAGCCGTGTGTGAAATACTCTCTATATATTATTGCAAAACAGGTTATGTTAAACACATTCATGGTGGAAAAAGATTGGGATTAAAAAGCCTGACCACCGTGTGTGTGTGTGTGTGTGTGTGTGTGTGTGTGTGTGTGTGTGTGTGTGTGTGTGTGTGTGTGTGTGTGTGTGTGTGTGTGTGTGTGTGTGTGTGTGTGTGTGTGTGTGTGTGTGTGTGTGTGTGTGTGTGTGTGTGTGTGTGTGTGTGTGTGAGAGAGTGTTTGTGTGTGATGTTGGGTGTGTCAGGAGAGTAGAGTGAGAGCCTGGAGGAAAGACCCTCTTCTGCTCAGGTCAATGTGCTGGAGGCCAAACAACGAGTTGGAGAGCGAAAACAAGAATGCCGGAAAGAAAGAAAGAAAGCAAGAGATCCCATGACAGCTCCCTGAGTTGGTCTGGCTTTCAGTTCCCATAGCACATATAGCAGCAGTTAATGAAAAGCCTACACATTTAATTGAAAAAAAGAGAAAACGTGGTGATGGTTGTTTATGTGTGGATTCTTTATGCTATATTTGGTTAATATTTCATTGCATACAGATGTCCAGAGGGGAAACACCTTGATGTATTTTTGATGAGATCAGATCATGGCTACTCCCTGTGGTCCTGCAGGTGTGTGTGTGTGTGTGTGTGTGTGTGTGTGTGTGTGTGTGTGTGGTGTGTGTGTGTGTGTGTGTGTGTGTGTGTGTGTGTGTGTGTGTGTGTGTGTGTGTGTGTGTGTGTGTGTGTGTGTGTGTGTTCAAAGCAGTATGGACATTCACACTTGCTTTTCTAATGCAAAAGAGTGACACATTCAACTTAAAAGTTACACTGGCCCATCAACTATGAATGACAACCAACGTAAAGTTTTGTTAGCAACCTTCCTTAATTATGGTTTTATGGTTATCACTATTGTATAATATTGTCAGGACATCTTTATTATGTTCTTCATATTGTGTCATTACTTGAAGAATTTCTCCTGGGTTACAGGTTTATTTCATGTGGAGAAGTGCCTGAAAAGAACAGCAACAATAGAGAAGACCACACAACTCCACATCTCTAGAGAAATAGAGAAAAACGTTACGATCTCGACACAATCTCCTACGTGAAGTGCTACAGTCAAAACCTAATGAGCATGTGAAAAGGTAGCACATCCCAGGTTTCTTATAGTCAAGATGGACATAATACCTACATTTCACTTCAAATCTGGGATGTTCTGCCTTTTCAATTATGTTTAACAAGCACATACACATCGTCATAGGTGAACATCTGCTTGATATGGATCGTCATCAAAAAGAGAAATTATAAATAACAGACCGACACATTTCTTTTATGTCTTGCATGAGCTGAACCTGACTCTGAAGTATATAATCGAACCATGAGAGAATGATGAGGAGAGCTTCAAACATATGTACAGTTGCAAGAAAAAGTATGTGAACCCTTTGGAACTACCTGGATTTCTGCATAAATTGGTCATAAAATGTGTTCTGATCTTCATCTAAGTCACAACAATAGACAAACACAGTCTGCTTAAACTAATACCACACAAACAATTATATGTTTTCATGTTTTTATTGAACACACCATGTAAACATTCACAGTGCAGGGTGGAAAAAGTATGTGAACCCTTGGATTTAATAACTGGTTGACCCTCCTTTGGCAGCAATAACCTCAACCAAACGTTTCTCAGTGCTTCTCAAAGTGTGGTCCGCGGACCACTGGTGGTCCGTGAGCGCCCCCTAGTGGTCCGTGAGTATATTGGTAAAATTTCACTTTTGAAAGAAATACATTTATTTAAGTTTTTCGCACTCTCGCGGGAATATCTCCGCAATGGAACGAGCTTAAGTTTCACTTTCGATTGCATGAAATAGCCCAGATAAGCACCTTCATCACACATTTTGCCACTTGTTTGTACCATTTTCAGGCGATTTGTAAAAAACGATGTGTTTTTGGATATTTGTGGAGTTAGGTGGTCCGCGAGTGTTTTTTTATTGGTTAGGTGGTCCTTGGTATGAAAAAGTTTGAGAAACACTGCTATAGTTGCATATCAGACCTGCACAACGGTCAGGAGGAATTTTGGACCATTCCTCTTTACAAAACTGTTTCAGTTCAGCAATATTCTTGGGATGTCTGGTGTGAATCGCTCTCTTGAGGTCATGCCACAGCATCTCAATTGGGTTGAGGTCAGGACTCTGACTGGGCCACTCCAGAAGGCGTATTTTCTTCTGTTGAAGCCATTCAACAGAGTTCAAGTCCCGGCAAGACCAAGTGCTACAGAGGTGTCCCTGAGCAAGGCACCGTTCCCTACACTGCTCCCCGGGCGCCGTTCAAAATGGCAGCACACTGCTCCTAACACTAGGTTGGGTCAAATGCAGAGAAACAATTTCCCCACGGGGATTAATAAAAGTCCATCATTCTGTTGTTGATTTACTTCTGTGCTTTGGGTCGTTGTCCTGTTGCATCACCCATCTTCTTAAGTTCTCCAGCAAAATGTCTTGATAAACTTGAGAATTCATTTTTCCGTTGATGATGGCAATCTTTCCAGGCCCTTGACATAACGTCAACATAGGCCGACCTGGGAGTGAGGATGTGTTGCCTGAGGCAGCAAAGCAGCCCCAAACCATGATGCTCCCTCCACCATACTTCACATTGGGATGAGGTTTTGATGTTGGTGTGCTGTGCCTTTTTTTCTCCACACATAGCATTGTGTGTTCCTTCCAAACAACTCAACTTTGGTTTCATCTGTCCAGAGAATATTTTGCCAGTAGTGCTGGAACATCCAGGTGCTCTTTTGCAAACTTCAAACGTGGACAGCAGTGGCTTCCTCCGACCAACTTATGCAGAAATCCAGGTAATTCCAAAGGGTTCACTACTTTTTCTTGCAACTGTAATTATTGTGCTGGATTTCACACCACATACAAAGACATATTGTTGCTGACAGTGTAAAGTGCTGTGTATGACGTGTGTGTGTGTGTGTGTGTGTGTGTGTGTGCGTGTGTGTGTGTGTGTGTGTGTGTGTGTGTGTGTGTGTGTGTGTGTGTGTGCGTGTGTGTGTGTGTGTGTGTGTGTGTGTGTGTGTGTGTGTGTGTGTGTGTGTGTGTGTGTGTGTGTGTTTGGGTGGTACAGTACATGCTATATGTTTGTGGCAGTGTTGGAGGGATTGATATTTGATTTGTCAGCACATGTGACTGATCATCCAGCATGTGCATGCTGAGGTGTTCCTGTTTGTATTACCTCATGCATGAATTCATAGTTGGGTAAAACCACCTAATCTATTAACTGAAATCTCTCTCCGCTCTCTCTCTCCCTCCATGCAAACACATGATATAGCTCCATACATTCATCACATGCATTTCACTGCGGAGCATCTTGTGACACATCCATGCTTCTTATTCTGGTGCAGCCACAGTGCTGTATGCCAGCCATGTGCTATGCAATAATTAACTCTTCTCTGAGCCGTTCCAGCCATTAAAGCTGTAAGGAGTGAGGCTGAGTAGAAAGGGCTATTTGTCCAAAAGGCCATGAGCAGACAGTCAGGCCTATTGATGAGATACTGGAGCTAATCAGGAATAGTGGCTGCAGTGCCCTCAATAGCAGCGTTGGTGTGTGTTATTTTGTTGGAGAAGGGAAACCAGCGACACAAAAGTCAGGCTACCCCTCGATGCCGCTGACATAGCTTTTATTTTCATCTTCATCATCAGTGCATCCAATAAAACTAGACCCCAGTGTCTAATCTTTGGCTCAGCTTTAAGAGATTACCTGCATCATAAAAGGGCTGGTATTTGTAATGGCCATGACAAAGACTTTGAATAATGTTGCTTTTGTGTTAAAGAGAATGTTAAGCTAAGAGGAGACCTTTACTTGTATTCCTGCTCCTGCCAGACAAACTCATGGGTGTGATTAACGATATGGTTTGCATATCTTAGCACAAATGTTTAGATCAAGTAGCTTGTTTAAAAGTCACTTCAAGATTTCAACAAAGATGGATGTCTGGTCTAATGAAAACACAAATTACAATTTGCATATATATTAAATCACTAGTTTCCCTTTAACAAGGAACAAGCT